GATTCTTCTGAAAGTGAGGAAAAGAGATCTATTTTTTCTGAGTGTCTGCAACATTGCAAGAGTTCACATCTAGAATTTGAATCTAATTTTAGAATTTGATCTTACAAGCTACCAACCTTGATATTCCTTTTCCCCTTTTTTTTTCCTCTGTACAAAAGAGAGAGAGATGTTGACATGAACGTACACGAACATACATAGCCTCCTGCACGAAGAAAGAAAACCCGGGGCATCAGAAGAAAAAATGGACAGCAAAACAAGACAGATGCTCTTTGTCTAAAAGTGAGGTTTAGATGAGCTTTGATCCTTCGCCTTTTGGCAACGCGAACTACGAGCATTTCGGAAACTTATTGGACAACAAAACACACACCGGTTTTGACATATATAGCATAGACCCGAAAACAAAACGTAGTATGAAACCTTTTCCTCACAAAGGGTTTTGCATATGTCATTGAAACCAATGACATGGTAACCAGGAGATGATGTCGTCTATTTCACGAAGATATGGGGATAATGAAAATAGTCTGAAAAGGCGTTATAAGCTTACTACCTGTGGTTTGGTATAAGTCTTTTGAGTCCAGCACTGTGGAGAAAACTGAAATATCTTGCGGAGTTCCCGAGAAATTCTATGAGAAAAAATAAGACAAGATCTCCTGATCGAGCAGCGGGTGCTACAACACACACAGTTGTGCGAGAAAATCTGTCAGCTCCTCACCCTCCCTAACAACCTAAACAAAAAAGACGAATGATTCTTTAAAAGTTTGAAATCTATATGGTTTAGAACAAAAATGACTTCAATACTTGAAAAAGGATCACAATGATAGATGAACCACGTATAATTCGACCCACATACTTACACATACAATCCCAATTAAAAGCAAAAATAAAGCTCCTGGTAATGTGAGCATGCCGAGTTACGAACGAGATGAAGGAAGTTTTACTCAGAAATTAGGGTTTTTCTATCTATTAGTTTTTTTTTTACTTTGTTTTTGATATCCTATTCGTTTCAAGATTTAATTCGGCCTGTAAAACTATATCTGTAGACAAAGTTTTAGCAATGCTCATAAGACAACGGGCTCCTCTGAGTTTGCAAAAGAGAATTCTCTATGATTAAGATCCAGGCATAAAGGGAAGAAAAGAAGCAACAATCTCGGAAGCTGTTCCATGCCTTTTAGATATCCAACACTAACATATTTAGTTGATGAAGAAACAATGCAGGATCAAAAAAGCATAAACCAATAAGCAGGAAATCATGAATTGAAAAGATATCTGGTTATTACCTTTATAGGGGTGTCCTTTGGCAAGTTCATCTGAGATAATATATCATTAGCAGCTTGAACCCAGTCAACCTTCTCCACACTGCACACCATGTTGTTGCTATCTAACTGAGACTGATTGTTATCAAGAGAGACCGACCTTCCTATCCAAATATGCAAAACCCTCCCGGTGTGTCCTGTGGTGTCACTTGGCGAAGAAATTGCGATTACAGAATTTGAATCTAGATCAGACCTGCTAAGTTTTGTAACTTTTTCCATGCTTGGCCACCGACATGCTAAAGACTCCCCCAAGTTGCAGTTTTCAAATTCGGGACTATAGGGCGACTGTGAGAGAACAGAATCTAGAGTTTGTCCTGAACATAAACGCTTCTCTGATTCACTGCAGTCGATTAAGGAAACCATTTCCTTCTGGGGTACATCTATAACTCTGCCAGACAGTACACTTTCTGTGCAATCGCTTTTTGGATTCACACCTCTATTTCCATCGTCCTCCAGGTTGAAGACAATCTCTATACTATCTGCCTGGCATAAAGTGCGAGCAGCAGTAACTGTGCCTCTATTGGAATCAGTCAAACCAGGTAGATTCAGGGGTTTTGACAGCTTGCCTCGACGCTCCGCTAGAGAAGGAGAAACCTTTCTATTTGTCAATGGTTCAATACGGGGTTGCAAAGAATTGTCGAAACCATGGCTTCCTAGATAGTTAGATTCATCAGGAGAAGTTTGGGATGGGCAGAGAGACAGGGTGGATAAGTTGGGCAATGTTGAAGATGGTGGAAGAGAACAAAAAGGTCTCAAGGAAAAACGCCCAGAAGTCTCTGAGATAATCTTTGGTCTAGCACTTGAATCTGGACATACAGAGTCTGGGGAAAGATAAGGAGGTGAAGCAGACGACGATGAAGAGGAGGATGTAGTTGATGAAGGTGATAATGCATGCACTATCATCATAGAATCAGAATACACCCTAGAAAGTTGTGTTTTGGTTACTACCATGGATATCTTCTCAAACTTTGACGCAAACTTATGTTTCAGTGAACTCCAACCACTTTCCCTTGCAGGAAGATGAGTCTCGTGTTCGTTGTTGGATGATGCAAAGGGAGGTACAAAACCTCCCACAATGGCTTTCTGAACTATCTCAAAGTCAACATTATATGCATCAACCTTCCTGTCACCTGGTACGGTTTTGACCAACAACTCCCCAATCTTACCTCTTTCTCTCGACTTATCCATCATGGGCAACATATTCACAAAAGCATCCCAAAAGTAAGCAGGCTCCTCCCCTTCTCTAATCACAGTAATAGGTGCTTCTACTTTCTCATATCGAACAATTTGACAAACAGCAGCCCTTGCATCTCCTTCCATGATGTCTCCACATCTCTTCCCAACCCAAATATAAATTGCAGAAGATAGTTGAATGATAAATGCACCTCTTGAATCCAAAGATGAAAGAGATGGATCATTCAACAATTTGGGAACAAGATGCAAAGGATCATAGGGGGAGTGTGGGGATATTCTGTACATTCTAAGTAAGGAAGTAGGGCTAAGTGGGAACGCATGAACTCTCTTTTGGCACTGCAACAACTGGCAAGCAAAACCCATGTTAGGATCAGCAATACCTCTAGCAGACTTCACATACTGAAACGCATCATCAAAACTCTGCCCTTCTCTCCACATCAGATATGCTATAACCAGCGAGGTAGAACGTGACACCCCCTGGCAACAATGAACAAATATCCTTCCATTTTGTTCCCTAACATCTTCGAAGTAGTCAAAAACATCATAAAGAATGCTAGTAATATCCTCTGACGGACTATCCTGCAACCACAATGTTCTATACACAAAATCAGACTTGAAATACTCCGGACAGACAAAACCCACACAGTTCAGGATATGGGTGATTCCATTCTGTTTCAATATATTCCTGTCCTTCGCTACAGCATCTCCACCTAGATATATATGTTCTGCCACCTTCGAACATTCTTTATCAAAGAAAGCAATCTTATCCCTCTTAACTTGGCCAGAACTCTTATCCGGGATTCGCTGCGTGGACGATAAATCAAGCTTCAATCTCTCTCCAGTCTTGTTCCCGCTAGGCGTAGGTGGATGCGGCCACTCTCCAATATCATCAGAACCCGCGTTAGGCCACTCGTCCAAGCTCCTACGGGCAATCGACAGAGGCTGCAAAGGTGGCAAACAAGCTCTAGCCTTGCTGTTCTGCTGTGACCTAGGCGTTAAAGGGGCAGCTGGGCACCTGCGATTCGGCCCATGTCTGCTAGAACTATTGCCACCCGTAACAATTAGATGTTGCTCCTCATTTTCAGGATTTTGAGATGCAGTACGAGAGGCAGACCAAGAGGCCGAGCGCCAGAACATTCTCCTAGAACCAGGATGATGGCTAGGCGCCTGAGCATCGCTAGCCACATCTTCTCTTCCCACCATGCCAACTCTCTCTGTATTACCGACACAGACTTAACTAAACCTCAAAATCCAAAGAATTTTAAGAGCTGCTCAGTTTATGCTAAATTCTTGCGAAAGCAGCGAAACCCATTTTCAACTGCCATGGCTTCTACAGTTCAGAAACAGATCACATCCACAGCTGATCCAATATTTTCTCCTACGAATGCATCAGTCTATTTTTCGAGATAAACTCATCAATCCCACTTAAACCCAAACTCAATAGTAAGCACGAGGAGACCAGCATCAGATCAGACACGACATGAACGCATAGCCGAACTGCAGGGACAAAAAACATAAAGGAAGCGGCAGTTACTACACATCAAAATGAATAACTCAAAAAGAAACATGCTTCCAACAACAGCGACCCAAAAGATTACAAGCGAGGAAGTAATAATTTAATTAAAAGGCACTAATTCATCAAATACCAGAAACAGCCCAGAAATACGCCGAGGAAGGAAGATAGAAAGAGAACGAAATAAGGAAGCAAGACTTAAAATAGAAACTGAGAAAGGCACAAACAATCTGAAAAGGTGATAAACCAAAGGGCTCGAACGGCTCTCTAGGGTTTCCCCGGACAAAATCAACATGTAAGAGAAAACGACCGAGAGCGCGAAGGAGAGGGAAAGACGAAAGAGATATTGAGACTTACGGAGTGAGAAACAAGAAGCGAACCGTCATGGAGATCTTTTCCATCCATAGGCAGAGAGAGAGGGAGAGAGGGAGGAGAGAGAGCACGAACGCGAAAGCGCAGGAGGAAGAAAGGAAAGGGAGGAAGAGTGGCGAGCAGTAATTTTATACAATTCGTTTTACGTTTTCCTTAAGGCATAATAATTCATTTATATTCTTTCTCCATATATAAGATGATACGTGAGCTATAATATTTTTCTTTTTTTTGTATTAATCTGAATGTGCGTTTGATATATATAATTGTTTATAGAGATTTATTTGAAATAAATTATTTCAACAAAATAATTATACTCTTTTAGATAACATGAATTTTTTTCTTTGACCAATTACCAATTCAATGTATTCTTAAGACAACCAATTGAATTTAGAAAAAAAAAAGATAAACAGTTGAATTATTAAAAAAATTTGTTTTACAATATGTTCCAAAAATACGGCTTATCCTTTGGTAATTAGTATTATATAACTAATGATTATTGTTTGATTTGATATTTCAATTTCTTTAAATAAATAAATATTTATGGTTCATTTTGAAAATATAAAAAGGGTAGGGATTAATAATTACGAACCATTTTGAATTTTTTGGTTTTGATTGCTACGTTTTTTTTTTAAGTTTTTGGTTGCATTATTTCATTAGTTTAAAAAGAAATGGGACAAGTACCCTTTTGTTGACGAGTCGGTATGCAATGATTTATTTTTTCTAACGTACATGGGTCAATGTCTAATAAAAAAATATTTAATGTATTATTAACTTTATATGATTTCATAAATAATAATATATAATATATGAATGTTTTTGCCATGTTATATGGCAATATCATGGCATCGGATATTTTGCAAATAAATATTAAATATAGACCCATGCACGAAACTTCTCACATATTTCCCGTGGAATCAAACTACAATATTTAAACTATAATATATAAAGTATATAATCCAAGAAATTATTCAAAAGTCAAATTTTTGGACAGAACCGGTCGTTACCAAATAATTTACTGAAATATAATATAAGTGTTAGATTTTCTTTTGCAATTTGCTAACGTAGTCGCTGTAAATGACGATGTTGGTCAGAAATTGTAAGCTAGACGTCGACGTCAGTTCAATAAAAATTTAAAAATGTCATTATCGAAAGAAAAAAATACGTGAATTTAAAAATACGAAAAAATTAGAAGATTATGAAAAATTATTTTTCTAAAAAATCCAATTAAAATTTCAATAAACTATAACTATAAATAAAATTTAATATATTATATTGATACCTAAAAATAATTACTATATTATTAATTTATCTATTTCGACAGCAAATAGACCTTATTTTAATAATAAAAATTAATATTATAAGTATATTGAATAAAAATAAAAAAAATAGAAATTGATAAAAATAAATCTACAATTGAAATAATTTGATTAGGAGTTATAAATTTCATATTTATCATCAAATATCCTCCACATTCATAACTTATTCGAATATAACTTTAGAATCATCCAATTTAAGACAGTTTTTAACTAAATCATAGCACACTAATTCTCATATTTAAGACAACTTTTAACTAAATCATAACACACTAATCCTCAATTCCTCATATCGGATACTACTCGTATATGAGGTATGATAATTTTAAAAAAAATATTACATACGTTTTAAATCATCATTTTATATCCCATATGATAATTTTGTATATATCATCCAATATCTTGTTCCAAACAAACATCCAATATACAAGATCATTTATCTTATATGATAGCCATTAGAGAGTTTAGAATCATTTCAAACGATTCAAGGATCATGATATATAACAAATATGCAAATTATACAACAAAAACATAATACATTCATCAAATGATTCAATAGAAGTATACGGTTTTCATATCACAAATTATCCTAAAACATCTAAACCAATAATCTTATGTAATATAACAAATATCTAATTCTGTATCATAACATGACCATCATACATTGATGAATGAAGAAGTTTCATCAATGGATCTGTAATATTATCATCAATCGACATTTTATATACCTTCATATCTCTTGTCTATGATCTTTCTAATCAGATAAAATTGTCTGAATATATATTTGGATGACCTAATGATGTAACCTCCAAACCGTTGGTTTTGATCCTCTGCGATAATTTACCATATGAGAATCATATAATTGATCATATCTATCCAAGTGGATAAACGGTTTCATATACTAAACCTAGACACAACGACTCCATAAGGATACAAATCAATTGTAGTATCAGTATCGAACATATGGAATAGAGAATTCGACTCTAAATCTAGGCAAGCAAATATCGATGAGTTGGTTTATAACTAATCTACGCAAAAATACTTCTCCAATCCTCAAAGACTTTGTAACCTCAAAAGAGATTGCGTAGTATAAATATACTCCATGAATCTCTCTGCGGTGTACCTCTATTCATTTATTCCATTAATTGTTCGCATTCCGAGGTTCCCAAATTCAATACATTTTCAAAATTAACCAACCCATAGGAAAATATCGATACAAACTAGATTAATTATAATTTATAAACTAAAAACACTCTTTAGCAGAATCTTTAATTCAAATATATATGATAGGTGAAACCCTAAAAAAGAATAAGAGCTTGAAAAATTCAATGAACACAGAAGGGAAAGAACAAAAGTCTTACATCGTGATTTCTCAAGGGGAAGTACATTTATTTCTTCTTATCTCTTTCAGTTTCAACGATGCATTTCTATGAAGCTAAAATATAAGTACGAACGAGCTTTCAAAAGGCATAATCGTCGTCAACATAGAATAAAATGTCAAACTCAACTGTGAATTCGCATGTACAAAGAAAAAGGCAACCACGACAACATCCAAGACAATAAAAGGAATGGAGAACAAGATTCCATTGTCATGATTAGGGCGTTGTTATGCGATATTTCAGGTCAGAAGCAGACAGTAGTTGCAGAGCGAAAATCGGATACTTGGGCCGTCTGTTTTCACCCTGATCATGTATAATTAGATGCGCTTATATTTTTGGGAATTGTTTTATACTATATCGGTGGTAGTTTTTTATGGTTTGTAATAAGATTTTCTATTTCCACTCATCTATGTATAATTATATCGGACATGTTATACCATATACGTATATATGAATGTTTTTATTCCACTGACTCTGGTAAAAAAAATTAAATTCCCGCGCATTTTTAAAAATTGTATTTGTATTTTAGTTATCCATATGATATAGTTCGTATTGCGGAATGCGGGCTATGAGAGTCACAAAAACATATGTTTTGTATAGAAAAGTGACATGATCTATGTCACATGTGTCCTCTGACACCGTCCATGTCATTAATCTTAATTTTTTTTATAGAAAAATGATATGACTCGTGTCACTTCTATAAAACAGGAACTCATAAAAGTTATCGCATAAAATCACCATGTTTTATAATCTTTTGTCAAATGTCTTAGTTTTTATAAACAAGAAACATTTGAATATGTTGATAATATTAGAGATTCTTTTCTTAAAAATAAGTCTATTGTTTTGCTAATATTTTGAGAGTAAACGAATATCAATATGTATTTTTTGTATTTTTTAAAAGCGTGCTAATATCATTTGTTGAGTATAGATGGAATAACGTTTATGGAAAGTGACTCTGCCTAGAAAAGATATATTCAGGTATGTTTATTCCCATTTTTCGTTTGTTTTTGTTTTTTCTCTATTATTGCATTATTCTACAATCGAAATGGAGCAATCATTTAGGTTAGTCCTTTATCGTTTAGTGTGTTGATCTAGAGATAAACGAGTATTACTCTGTATATACAAGGTTTAAAGGTGTCGGTTCATAGTTGAAAGTCATTCAGATCACTTCGTGGTATATAAAAAAACCCAATATCTCTGAATCTTGACGAATAACGGAAAAACAATTTTATGGATATCGAGTTTTCGGTGAGGGATTTGACAATCAATTTCCATAAGTTGCACAAGTTTAAAAACATATTTTTCCAGATATGACTAGAGAACATGTCTTTCCTCTTGACTTCTCTAAAAATTGTTTATGTGATAATTACACCTTTTATGTATTGCTTAGCAGTAGAATGTTATCATTTATTTTTCAAACTACATTGTAGAAAACTTAACAAAATTACAAAAAAATATAGAAAACTTTTAATGTAAAATCAAGTTTTTGCCCTCGGGGATGCATATAGATGAAGCCCTCCATCAACATGAAGTGTAAGCATTCTAGTGTAAGTCACATTTCTCTTCTCATCGACCAATTTGAAGCGAAAGAAACGAAGAAGCACCATTGATATGATCTTCATTTGTCGGTATGCAAAATCCTTTCCCAGACAGATTCTTGGACCAGCCTGCAATACTTAATGTTAACATCTATCAACCAAAAGAGCTATTGATTTAAAAAACAAAAAACAAAATAACGCTCCATGAGAAAATACAAACATGGAAACTTATGAATTTGAAAGGTGATTCGATCCGTAAAATTCCATTCTTGAGCCACCTCTCAGGTCTAAAAACCTCAGCATCTTCACCCCAAATGGTTGTCATCCTACCCATCGCGTAGGCAATGTAGTAAACATTGTCGCCTTTATTCACTCTATATCCATCCGGGAGAATGTCGTCACTTTCTGCACACCTCATATCCTTCAAAAAGGCACAAAAAGCAAGAAAATACATCCATTATTGGATTTCCATGGACCGAACTTAAAAAAATTCAAACCGAAGAAGCTTTGAGGTTGGATATAAACCACAGGAACTGGAGGGTAAAGCCTCAAGGTTTCAGACAAGGCTGCATGGAGATAATGCATCTTGTCAAGAGATTCTTCTGTTATTCTTTGAATGAAATCCTCTGTTTTCATTGTTTCCCCTTCACTTCCAGTGACTTCCCTTACTTCTTGAGCAATCTTCTCCTGAATAAGTGGATTCTTACAGATAATGTATAAGAACCATGAAAGAGCAGCTGCACTTGTGTCTTTCCCGGCTATCATGAAGTTAAGTATGATATCCCTCATGTACTTGTCATTCATTGTCTCTGGATCTTTATCGCTCTCCGCAAGAAACCTCGATAGTATATCCTCCTTACCATCCTTGAAATGAATGAAAACTTTTTCAACAAGATTTCTGTAATGATGTAAATACTACATAACCAACTTAATATTGTGCGATCCGAAACCGCATTATTTTCTTTCGTAATCATTTTCCCGATTGGTTCTTTTTAAACTATATCCGCATAGGGGTTTTAATAATCCATGTTTGAATCGTTTTTCTATTATTTCTCTTTTCGTGAAAGCTTTTTAAATCGTCATAAAAAACTATATTTTGGATATTTCGAAATACATACGATATCATCTCATCCCCAGGTTTTTAAAGGAAAAGTCGCATATTAATACACGGATTTACAAAAAAAAATATATAAATTTTCAAATTTTCAAATAAATATATGAACTCTTCTAATTCCTATATATGTTAAACTGTGAACTTTCTAAAAACAATAAAAATAAATCATGAATTTGTAAATGATTACTAAAACCCGCACTGAAATTAAACCCTAAGTTTTTAAACGATTTTCAATTATCACAATGATATGGTAGTTTTTTGAAAAAAATCTAAGTTGAAGTTTTAATGCTGAAGTTAAGATCACATTCGTATATTCCTTTTTTATTTCAAAGTTCGTGTATATATCTAGAATATTTTTTTTACAAGTTCGTGTAATGATATGCGATTTTCCTAATATAATTTATATTACATGAAAAAAGGAAAAACAAACTTGTTCACTGAAGTTATATATCTTACAGATTCTTGTCGTGAGGAAAGTTGTCTCCTCTTGGTGCGGATGAGATTGCAGACGAAGTTGTCAATAGTAGCAATGTCCCTTTTAAGTTTGGCTTCTGATCCTATGTTTAGACATCTCTTCAGTTTCCAAAGAGGATCGACGAATCTGAAACTGGTCGTAGTGTTCGCTTCGTCAAAAGCCTTCATGAATTCTTTCCCTTCTATGCTCATCCCTTCCAAACACCTCAAACTCACTCCAAACCCCACTTCGAAAATAGATTCCATTGTGCATCTCATCAGCAAATCCTATATATTCCGATATGACCCATATTGTAAATGTTGAAAGTTTTTATTAAGGGAAAATAGCATTTAAATACTTAAACTTTTACAAAATTTTGAAAAAAACTCCTAAAAATTTCTGAACTTGCAAAGTGTCTCAATAAATCATAATCTTATTAAAAAAATATCATATTAGTCCTTCGAAAAAATTGATTAAAAAATATGATTTTATGTCCTACGTGGCAGGTGACATGACATGTCAAGTATGAATTTTTTGCCACGTAATCAGTACCGGGTTTTAGAAAAACAGTTTCTTCAAAAAATATTCTAAAGTCTCTAGACGCATTTCATCGAACACTTAGTATGCACGAACAAAAACTCCATTTTTTGTTTGGATTTACAAAAACTAAAACCACAAAAACAAAAATTAAAATTTAAAATCCAAAAACCCAAAATAATCATATGCTTTAGTAGATTAAATTTAAAGTTTTTCCTTTGCAACCAATCTTACTTGAGCATCAAAGGGTTGGCCAGAAAGAGCATACTCCATGAAAACTCCAGCAAGCTTAGCTGCGTTTCCTCTGAAAACAGAACAGCTGAAATCCCTAAGGACTCTCGTCGAGAACTCGAAGCTCGAAAGTTTCCTCTGTTGTCTCCACTTGTCTCCGTCGACGGCGAATATTCCATGTCCGAGAAGATCCGAGAGTATATCACGTGCGTATTGCCCTTTGCTGTAGTTGTCGAACCTCGTCTTGAGAATATGCTCGACGTTACGAGGATCGACGGTGAATATCTCGCTTTGTCCCGGAGCTAATAGCCTGAAAGTTGGCGTCTTTCTCGCGATTTCGGTCTCGTGATCGTATATGTCGTGGCCGTGGAAGAACAAGAAGAAAATGGTGGCGTGGACCGGAGCATATTCCGGGCTGTTTATGGATTTTCCGGCGAATATTCTGATTGTTAGATTCAGTATATAGAACAAGATACTGATGATTATGGAGAACACCAAGGTGGCGATTATACAGAAGAAATTCATCCTTTTGTCTCTCTTCTTCTCTTTTTGTCTCCTGCTTACATTTTCTCTAGGCAATCCATGTACATATACATTTTTTTAAAATATGTGTTTTTTCTTTTTAAGTGATAAAATTAATTATCTTATATTTTGACCCATTTTTTTTAAACAATGTTATTCAATTTCTCTTACCATATATCTGATTAATCATTATTTTAATAACCGATTATATATACAAATTAAAAAGAATTCTGAATGATAATTAATTGATTGTCTTTTCTAGGCAATGCGAGGGGCCCCATTCTTTGTCTCAGTAATATGTGGCCGAAGATGTTCATAAGAAAGATATCTACACGATATTTGTTTGTATTTATATGACTGGGAAAGCGAACAGTGCAAATAGGTTGGCTATATATATATATATATTAGAAAGAGTTTTCAACCCACCCAAGATATTAAAATATAAATATAATTGGAAAACGAGCTCTGCAGAATATTAGATATAAAAAAGATGGGTCACAATAACAACAAAATCAATGAAATCGAAATAAAAATAAAAGAACTGTATATGATTTTCTAGGCGCGTAGAACACTTTCCTAAAACGTTATTTCCTCTCCACCGAGTAAAAGAAAAATCCGAGAATACGTTTAGAGATACAAAGAAGATCAGCAACGATTGATTTGCTTCTCAAACATTGCCCGAAACAGAAAAACCCGAGAAAGAAGATGAACAGTAAAAGATGGAGAAGAATTAGCAAGTTTCTTCACCAACAAGGCTCACAAATCTCTCAAAATCAATTAAATTTCGTATATGTGACATTCTCTGACGCTTCTAGTTTTAAAAACACAAGAGACATCATCAAAAGTTGTATCCATTTAGTAGTTTTCATGCGAAAAGCCGTATTTTTTCATGTTCCAGATATGTAACACGGTCGTGTCGAATCTCACACGGTCCGTGTCAATTGTCTGTGCAAAATTAACACTCTCTCAGAGAATTGACACGGTCCGTGTTGCACCTAACACGGTCCGTGTCAAATGTCTGAGCAAAAAACAACATTTTCTCAGAGAATTGACACGGTCCGTGTTGAATCTAACACGGTCGTGTTGAATTAACACGTCCGTGTTACATTTGACACAATCCGTGTTGAATCTAACACTGTCCGTGTTGGAATTAACACACCCGTGTTACAGTCCGTGTAGAATTAACACGCCCGTGCAGAATTAACACGTCCGTGTTACATACCCGTGCAGAATTTCTGTACTTAAATTTCACTACTAAACACAATTATATACTTTACAAAATACATGTATAAACTTTACCAATTCATACTATATCATTTACGAATATATAACTCTTCTACCATATCCGTAATACATATAAATATGAACCACATCTGGAATAAACAACACATAAACCCAGTCCGCATCTGGAATTATTCAGCGGCAATAAAAATGGAAAATGGCGGTTTTTTTTAATGTCAATGTTGTACCATGATTCATGAATGGATAGAAGAGATGATACACTAGTGGGCCGCCCGGTCGGACATTCGAAAAAATAGGGATATTTGAATTTGTATTTATCATATTCGAGTATCTTATGTTAAAGTTTGTATTCAAAATTTGAGCTGTACGAAATTTAATAAAAAAAACAATAATATTTATGTAGAAAATGTTAAAAGCAGAAGAAATTATATTTATAAAGATTGATAAATTGCGGTAAAATATGAGATAAATAAAGATGATGAGAGATAAATAATAATAAATTTAGTTTTTTAGATAATGTTAACACATGTGAAATTATTTAACTTAAGACAATTATATTTTATGAAAATATTATATAGATATAGTGTATAATTATTTATAACTAAACTAGTCGGATATTTGCAAATCTTTGTTTTAAAAAATTTTATTACCTGAATTTGGATTTGAGTTCATATTCACGGATATTCAAATATTCAAATTTAGATTTAGATTCTAGTGGATGTGAGTATCCTAAATTCGGATATTCATAAGATAGATATTTGCGAATATCCGATTTTTGGATATTTTTGTTCATCCGGTATTTTTGTTCAGCTCTAAGAGCAACCACCAGTAATAATCTCTTAGCATTTTATCCAATTTATTTAAAAATAAAATATTCAAAAATAACAAGATTTCTTGATGTAAAATTTAGGAATTGTACTTAAAAATAGAAATTATCCTAATAAAATTTTATAAGAAAAAACCAACTTCAACTTTAGATTAGAATATTAGGATACTATAAAATTTTGTAGGAAAAATCCATTGTTTTTTGGATAATCGGGTATTTTGGACCAATATCCAAACTAATTTCGAGGGAATGAGCAAACTATTTGATTAGAATATGCATTCTCCTCCCAAATTGAAACTCGAACTCGGAACGAGACAGACGTTTTGCATTCTCATTCTACCGGTTGACTACCCAAATTGGGTGAAAAATCCGTTGTTACTTTTAAACCAGAATATGGGATTAGTTTCTTTTTAATAAGTATGTATTTTTTCTTTTTACGTAATAAAATTAACTATCTTGTATTTTGACCCAAAGTGTTATTCAATTTCTCTTACCATATATCTGATTCTGATTAGTCGTTATTTTAATAATCAATTATATATACAAATTAAAAAGAATTCCGAATGATAAACTTAAACTATACGATATTTGTTTGCATTAAATACCAAACCCATTTAATAGTCAAACCATAGTTTTTGTCAAACAGTACCGAGCATCCAAATAAATTTCTCAACTAAAAAAAAAGATATGCATTCAGGCCCTAAACCCGATTAAACCGACCCTAAACATGAGTTAACCGACCGCAAATTCATATTGGCCACCCCTAACGAACGATTGGCATAAAAATGATTTTGAATTTTTACAACAAAACAAAAATTGGAAAGAAAAAAAAGATCATATTGAAGATTGTCTCGTTAAAATTTGAGGAATTCGGATGGACCGCCATTATCGACCAACCTCCGCCCTTAAAATTTTACTATTCACCCGAAATCAAGATAAGCTTATAAATTTACTATTCACCACAAAAGACATGGGCCGTAAACTTTTACTATTTACCCGGAAAATCTTGGTCGATAAACTAATGTTTACCCCAAAATTTTAATATTTACGATCAAAAGATATTATTGGGCCATGTATTTGACTATTCAGCCGAAAAGTTGGGCCCAAAGACAAGCTTGGCCCATAAACCTTCGGTGCCTTCTTCATTAGACTATGAACCTCTGAGAGAGTTAGAAGGTTTGAAATCCCGTAAACTGACCCATCTCAAAGCTTTTGAGGTATATATAACCAGGGGTTGACTCACATGTACTAGAGTGGGATCCTATGTCCCCATAGACGAATGTCTGTATATATATATATAAACATATATAATAGATACTACACCCTTAACATTATTTTGTATAATACATCTTTTTCTCTACAAACAAACGAAACATCAAGATTGATTGTGTATATAGAAAATGATTGACGGGTCGATCACAAACGTGAACAAGAATGAAAAGAATGAGAGGCATACTTGTTTACGGCACGAAAATCCGCGGACGCATTTCCGCGCCCTAACCGTCTAAGTGTCGCATGGCTTAAGATCCGAGAATCCTTTAAGCCCGTGACGTATTAGTTTCTAACAAAAGAAGTGGGGAAACGATAAAAGAATGAGAAAAGATGCAGGAATAGCGAGAGTGAAGACGGCAGGAGAGGAAAAAGCGGAAGAAGAAGAAGATTTAGATCGGTCGGAAGGGCAGAGGCCGTCATTGGAGAAGACAAAGGACCTGCAGAGAGGGCAAGTGAAACGGCCATGGAGGACAAGCCATGTTTCAATGCAGTTGAAATGGAAGAGATGGTCACATCTCGGGAGTTTGGTCACAACGACATTTCCTCCTCCATCCTCCTCCTCCAACTCCACCAAGCAAATGGAACATACTCCCTCCTCGTTTTCAGACAAAGCCACCGCAGGAAGATATGTCGTCAGCTCGGAATCGCCATTAATGGCGAGGTCTTTGCCACCTTCCGGTTCTTGTGGATGAGTTAACCTTCCGAGAAGAACTCTCTTTAGCCCATGGAAAGGGATGCAAATGCAAGTGTAGAATACTATGGCTGCTGCGGAGAATGGTGAACCCGGAAACAATAAGCACATCATCTCTTTTACTATTATATTATATGCTTTCTATATAGTCTTTTGGACCTCTTCGTTATTATCATTCCCTCCTCCTATATTTATACACATTGATATTTTGTGCTTATCAATAAAATTATACATTTTCAAAGGTCGTATGTATTGTTGGGTCGGCAGTCGGCACCGGCCAACCCCCATAACACATTTTATTATATTTCAAGTAAATGGAGGAAGTCAACCTATGTACATGTTCAATATGCTTCCATGTTAAGCATTATTTATATTCTATATTCGTGTGTGTATGATCAAATATCTTATGATAACTAAATCACATGATGGCGCATGATATGTGTTCCAGGGCATATATTAATAAACAAATTTGGATGATATATTTGGGGCCATTGCTTATATATATGTTCAATGGGCTAAATCTATATAAATTTATGGATTATATGATTAAAATAAAACCCATATGATTGAAATAAAAACAAGAGTTGGGTATTTGGCCGGTGACATTGTCTTTCCCCGTCAACGTGAAAATGGTCAATAACACTTTCACAACATTTATATATATTATATATGTTTTCAGATTAAGGAGAAAAACGCCAAACAATAAAACTTGTTATCTGTTGTAACAATCGATCTAACAATGGTATTGAATACCAGTTTTGGAAAATTTTAAAAATATTTGTCTAATTGGGATAGTTTTGCAACAAAATAAAAAAGTAGGGGTTAAAAAAATATATCTGTAGCTTGTTGCAACCAGACACGTGACGTTCCGAGTTTCATAGTCTAATTAACCCTTACTATGCGATATTTGCCCAGAAAATCAATGGACATGTAGAGAAAATCATAGTGAAATTCCGACAGTGTGTGTGCAGAAGTGCGAAAAGAGCCTATTTATGGCCTTGGGAACGTTTTATATTTGTTATGGCGGTTTTGTAATTTATATATATATATATATATATATATATATCTGTGTGTGTGTTGGTGTTTATGAAAAAAAAAAAAAAAAAAAAAAACCTGGGGGCATTTGCACGAAAATTTTTAATCCTCTCTTCGCCGCCGCCGCCGCCCATATCACCGCCGCCACCACCAGTATCGTTCGCGCGTTCCAGGTCGAGATTCTTTTCATTTTTTATTTGGTTGTTTTTATAAAAAAAAAAAAAAAAAAAAAACCTGGGTGCATTTGCACGAAAATTCTTAACCTTTGCTTTCATTTCTGTTCTGAAAAAAACATAACAGAATCACTTGTGTTTCATGTTACGTAGTGTGTCCAAATTGAAAACCCAAAGTCTGTGTTGTGGACCAGGCCCAATCTTCTTCAACTGGGCCCAAACTCTTTTCTTTTGCAAGCCCAAGCCCAACACGCAACTCAACCTTAATCTTGTGTCCGAGAACATTTCACCGGAGGCTTCTTCCTCTCTCTCTTGCTCTCCGTGCCACCATGACTGAACCTATGCGTGACAGCACCTCCAACAGGACATATGTATACCCGCGCCGTATTATCGCACAAGTCGAGAATCTCAACTCGGTTATTGTTTTCAACCAGAGAACCGAGTCTGATACCGCTCCGTGACGACGACCGATGGTGACAGCAAACTTGCACAAGAGGAGACCAAGAACAACGTAGAGACTGCCTCGCAATAAGATAAGTTACCAAACCCTACCTTTGATCCATACAGTTCTTTGTGATCCAGAGATTTACTTAGGTTTGATTGAACACAGACACAGCATTTAACGATTTCAGATTCCCGGTGTGGGAGATCCTACATCTCGGCAGGTTAGAACCCTAGATCAATCCACTGTATCCGCCTGTTCATACAATTCCATCAAAGAGTCAATCCGATTCTCTGACTATACAATTATATTACACATGTACTTTCACCTTCATTATTGTTTGTACAAATCATATTAGATCGGGTATGTAGCAATATGCCATTCATATACCGTACCAAACCGGGCCGGTTCACATGATTTCTTAGTCCAACAATGCGTCGGCGTCGGTGATTTATCCACCGAAGAAAATCCCAAATATTTTTTCAATGCGAATGTGTGTTTAAAATTTCTTTACTGCTAAATAAAAAAACATTTTGAATATTTGACCAGACGACCGATTTGCCCTATAAGGCTATAAATACTCCAAAGCCCCTCGTCGCCTCTTCACACAGCTCTTCCACCTAAACGCTCCTTCCCGCAAAATGGCGATCCAAAACGCGATTCTGAAAACCTCTCTCCTCCTCATCCTCTTCGTGTTATCCATGTCCGAAACCGCATTATCTCAAAACTGCGGCCGAACCGGCTGCGGCGGCAACATGTGCTGCAGCAGATGGGGCTACTGCGGAACCACCGCCGCTTACTGTGGCGCCGGCTGCCAAAACGGTCCTTGCAGCTCGCAGTCTAGCCCCGGAGGCGGCAGCGACAGTGGCGGTCTTGACGGTGGTCCGACCGATACGGTGGAGAATATCATAACGCCGGCTTTCTTCAACAGCATAATCAGTAAAGCCGGCGGCGGTTGTCCGGCGAGGGGGTTCTACACGCGCGAAGCTTTTATAGCGGCGGCAAATTCCTTCTCTGAATACGGAGGAGCCGTTACTAAGCGCGAGATTGCTGCCATGTTTGCTCAGTTCACTCACGAATCCGGAAGTAAGTTTACGTAAACCCTACGTAATTAAAATTAATATCCATCCTCGTTCACACGTGCGAAATGGTCAAAGTTTGAGGATTTTCATGATAATGGTGAAGCTAAATGAGAGATAAAAACGAAAAAGAATAGAAAACTATCTCTCTTTTTCTTTAATTAGCTAGCAAAATAATTTTAAAAAAATTACAGTATATATATATAGATATATATATATATGATACAAAGAAATAAGTTAAAAATAATTAATATGTACACCTTGATTTGTTAATTGATTTTGTATTTTAAACCATCTCCTTAATCACTTTCTTACACGTTCGGTTTCTTGGTACAGGCTTCTGTTATAAAGAGGAAATAGCTAGGGGGAGGTACTGCCAACAAAGCACAACGTACCCATGTGCACCAGGAAAGAACTACTACGGTCGTGGACCGATCCAAATAACTTGGAACTACAACTACGGTTCGGTCGGTCAGTTCTTGGGACTGCCCCTGTTGACGAATCCTGACCTGGTGGCTAGTGACCCCGTTGTGGCTTTCAAGACATCTCTCTGGTTCTGGACCAGAAACGTACGTCCCGTCCTGAGCCGAGGCTTTGGAGCCACCACGAGAGCGATTAACGGCGGAGAATGTAACGGAGGAAGACCTAACGCCGTTCAGGCTAGGGCTAATTACTACTCGGAGTATTGCAGGACACTTGGGATCACTCCTGGTTCCAACCTCTATTGTTAAGAAATCGTTTGCCATGGTCGGTCCAAGTATAAGAGCTATTGTCTAATCTGTGTTTGTGTTTGTGTTGTTTGTGTGAGAGAATAAATGTGTTCTATCATGTCCTAATTACGTCGACGTTGTGTCTAATTATCATAAAAGTTGTGTTTATTTATGAGAAGTCATATATAGGGGTGGTTATTTTAGTTATTAATTCAGTAGTGGAACCGAACCGAACCGAATAAGATATAATAACCGTATTCGAATCGAATCCGACATTAAAACCAAACGGTTATGATTTCTCTAAATCTAAAAAATTCAAAATCGAACCGAAAAACCGATGATCGTTTTGAAAAAAACGAGTTTTTACAACAAAAAATCGAATCGAAGTTTATATAAAAACCAAATGGTTATAGTTTTTCTATAACCAAAATAATCAAACCCAAATATAACCGAATCGAACCCGAACCAAAACTCGAATTGGCCACCTCTAATCATATATATCTTCACAAATATTTCCTCCGTTTCTTTATAAATGTCATTAGAGAGAATATTTTTTGTTATTAATATACTTTTAGATTATAATTTTTCAAGAAAATTTACAATTTTATATTTAATTCAAAATATTCACCTTCAAAAGAATAGTAATGAAAATGCAGTTTAACGACGGTATATATGACTTTTTATATTTTTTTAGAAAACTGTGAAAAAATCTAAATACTTAAAATTCCGAATACATATGCGGATATGGTGGAAGATTCGCAAGGAGTGTGTGTTCAAAGGCGGTGAACCGTTTGATCATGTCGTGGATTTCAGTGTTTGTAATTCGCAATCTCCCGAAATCATGGAATTAAAATATATGCATCTTATGTTCCCTATGACTCTGTATCGTCTGTTATATGCATCTTATGTAATAATAACGTTATATGCGATGTCATAGCGATTTTTATATTCCAAGATTCAGAATCCTTTTCTGTAACCGTTTCTAGATCCAGTTATTAAAATCAATCCTATCATACATGAAAATGTTATTAATCATAAAAAAAAAATCCAAGATTGTAAAATACCATAAAATTTTGGGAATCAAGACGAATAATAACATCCATCTTTATAACAAAAATTACATTAGTTGGAAAATAAACACGTCCACATCATCGCATGTCATGCCATGCAATGCCAAGGTGGGAGTGGACGTTGACTGGAGACTTCGAAGTCAATGGGCGACATGAGGAGGGTATTGCCACACATATGTACACATTATAAAATTATTGTACACATACGGATGATTTATCTTTTATTTTTAGGTTTGTCTTGCATTGACACGGCCAAATTTAGATTGAATTTATTCAACATAAGTTGGATATTAAAAAAAATAGATAACCAGATAATATTTTTATGGGTGGCATTTGATAATTTTCTTCATAATTTTATAAAATTTACGTAAGAATCATCTTTTTTTTAAAAAAAAAATTAGAGAGGGGGTCAGTGCCGCCAATCTTCACAACGTAAGTCCGCCTCTGATTATAGGGATGAAAATATATAACCTCTTATATTCATTATAAAATGCTACATATACTATACAAATATACACATTTTTCTTATCGTTGACTAATTGGACAACCACAATCGTGAAAGAGGACAAAGAACAAAAGCATCCTATTCATATATTTTCTTGAAGAGTCAATGCTTACTTGCAAGTTGCAATAAATCTTTCTGCATGAATTCAGTTATTAAATTATAAAATAAATATTAGCTACAATAACATGGAGCTGTGATTTGCATCTGATGTGTAATTAATTCCATTATTTACGGAAGAGTTATACGCATCACATAATCATTCCGGCGACTTTTGTAAATTAATATTTGGACAGTTAGACGATGGAGAGGAAACTAAGAAAACAAATGATACATGTGATTTCAGGATTCCTTTTACTTTGCTAATATATATGTATAAGAAATAAAATATGATTTATAGTGATTAATTATACTTATTTATAACTATGGTCCATGTAATATTTAAGATGGATAGGAAACGTATATAGAATTGAAAAATGAAGAGTTTTACGTTTATTACAAATTAAGTTTCACTAAAGATATGAGGTTTTATTTTAAGAAAAAAAATTAAAGTTCTTAATAATGATATTAAACGAGTTTTATTTTATAATTAAATTCTCGTTTCTCTCAACCCAAGGTAAAAAGACCTTATGATTTTGGATTTTCTCCATAAAAAAACAAATAACAGTAAAGAGAGAAAAAAAGATTCTAATTATATCATGGTTTCTTGAATTATGTGTAGTAAAAATTCAATTTTATAAGTCGGTTTTTTTTTATAAAAGAAGTGATTGGAAAAAACCATAAAAAAATTATTATTTACCGTTTTTGTATCTTTCCTAGATTGAGTTAATGAAATCAATCTTATCGTGGGTAAAAATTTTATTGAATCGTTTTAAATTCATAATAACAATTTAAGATTATAACTACCATGTCTGAACTCAATAACCCGGTTTTGAAGGGAGAGACGATATCGGCGACACAAGATACAGATCGGAAAAGATCTGCGAGGCGGAGGCAAAGGCTAGCCGTACGTCTATGTCGGAGCAGGTGAGTCAAGGTCAGTATTTACAACGGTGAGTTTGGTAATAAACTTGGTCAACTCTTAGCGAAAATCAGTGATTCTAACGAGTTTTGGCCGCGACTCGAATTTAGTCACACATGAGTTGGAATCACGGTGAGCCAACAACCGATCGACTCGGTTTAACTCGATAACTAGGGTATGCGAAAATAGGATTTTTTTTGGTTTAGGACGGTTAAACTGAAAATTAATTTCGGTTTACCCGATTCAGGATCAAGTCGATCCAATTCACCCCCCGGGGTCACTTTAATCCGCTTCAATCCGGACCAGTTCAAACTGGATTTGACTCGGGTTAACTAGTTTAGATTGGTTCAGATCTGTTTAGATAAAGGATTGACTGATTTAAGGCGAAATGGACCTATTTATGTTCGATTCATGTCAAATTAGATCAATTCAGACTAGTTTAGGTCGCTTAGAGTTCAATTTTGGTGGTTAAGGATAGGTTTAGTCCGGTTTAATACTCAATTAGCTTTATACATGCTTGTTTAGATCTTGGTTTGGTTTGTCTGGGTCATAGAGTCTGCTATTTTAGCCCTAAATAGGTTGGTTTTAGATTAGCTGGTTCAGAGGATAGTTTAGACTAGTTTAGGTCGTGTATATAGATCTTATCGGAGGCTGTGTTTCCCTCAGCGGTTAATCGAATGAAATTGGGCTTTCGTTTTGGTTTGCTTCCGGTTTGGTTCAAGGTAACCGAAGGATGCAAAACGTTTGCTTTGTGAGCTGGGGTCGTTTAATGGATTAAGTCATTATCCTAAGAATTCATTTTCAAATCAAATTCAACCTCATTTCGAATCAATTCTATCGATTCGTCGAATTGATCCGTTTTGATTCTTTTCGAGTCGAATTCGTTCGATTTGGATCGAATCGATGGTTTTGATTTTTTTTTTCGAGTCGAATTCAATTACGATTAAATAAATCCGTTTTGATTTGTGTCTAGTATTGATTCGAATCGATATGTTTTGATTCGATTCGAAACGAATCAAAATACGAATTGATCATTTTGATTCGTTTCGAGTTGAATTCAATTAAGATCAAATTGATCCGTTTTGATTGACTTTTTCGAGTCGAACTCAATTTGGATTGAATCGATCCGTTTTTAGTCGAATTCGATTCGGATCAATTCATTTCGATCCATTTTTCGGATCGAATTGATCTTAAAATTTGATTTGTTTTGGTCTAAATTTGATTTTTATTATAAAATTCTCATTTTAAAAAATCAATTTTTTAATTATTTTTATATTTGGTTTGAGTTCGATTTTTATTTTAAATTTTTGTATATATTTGATTTTATATTGAATTTGAACATAAAATCGAATTCGAATTTGGTTCGAATTAATTCAATCTTTATTTTGAAATATAAATATATTACTTTTATTTATAAATACATTTTAATGTTTTATTTAATCAAAACTAACATCAAATAATGTAATGTTTAATGAGTTATTTGGGTTAATCCATTAAATTCATGAGTTTAATGAGTTAAAACGCATTTAACCCAACCCAATTTGATGGTTTTTTGTTGTAGCTCTGTTTTTCCTTTCTTGTTCACTCGGTGAGCCTCCGATCGTGTTGTGTCTTGTAGAGGTCGCCGGTTGGACTCGATTCTGGATTGTCAGATACCGATCATGACCGAATGTGGGTTCGAGTTCTATTCAGTGACTGAACTCGTTAAATCTCTAGTCCCATCTCGAGTTTATTCGGAATGGATAATGGATCAGAGAGGGCGCGGGTTTAAATCCACACGCGCTTGCTTGTTTGTGAAAAACTTTATAAAGATCGTCATATGTAAATTGACGTATACTGCAAATATACACATATTTCCCTTGTTAATCGTTGTAAGATACAATTTGCAATTAAATTGCAAATCTTTTGGTGTGAATTCAATTCAGTAATTGGATTTTAAATACAACAACATGGGGCTGCAATTGCCATCTGATGAGATAATTAATATGAAATTAATTCCATTATTTATGCAAACATTATACGCATCACTTAATCATTCCGACGACTTTTGTACATAAAATTAATCAAATTTTCGGGTCATTGTTTAATATTAGACAGTTTGACAATAATTTGTTATTCTATATATATGTATATATATATAGAACAATTGATTATAAAAAAAATGTAAATATATAACAATTAGTTTCTCTCTCATATAAAACCATTTTTAAAATATATATAGTTCGTTTTAATAAAAAAAAATCAAGGAAATAATTAGGTTACTTGTAAATTGATTAGTTTATATAAAACATAAAATTTGGAATTATATACAAATGTTAAAAAAAACAAATAGAGAAGAATACATAGCAAGAATTAGTTTCTTAAAATATTTGATATAAAATATTCGATGAAAGAAGAATAGTGATATTAAAAAATGATTAGCACGACGAAACCCAAACTTGTGACAAAATGTTTAGTATTTTTTTTAATAATAACCATTACAGAAGAAAAAAAAGGTTGGAGAGGGGGTGCTGTCAGTGCTGACGGTCCAGAAACTAAAATAATTTCAATTATTAGTAATATATAAGATTAAATCAATAATCATACGGTAAAGAACTGCATGTTGAAGAGATAAACTATACATCCATCCATCGAAACGTCAACGAATACGGCCTATAAATACGTATTATCATCAACATTAAGTCATAAACGTAAGCACAAAAAAAAACACATGGCAAAGGCCTTCAAGTACTCATCTGTTTGCTTCTTTGCTCTGCTGCCCGTCCTCTTGTTGGGTACGTTGTTTTCTGTTCTCCTTTTTTTTAATCAATATATATATATATATATATATATATATATATATCAATATATATACAGTGTATGATTTAAGGATGATACTTGAAACAGGAAAGACAAAGGGAGATGATTATTGTCCACCCATTGGGGAACTGGAGAACTCATCCGTGGCATGTCAGAATCCAGACGATGGAAACACGTACTGTACCTATGCATGCTTTAATATCATCCCTCAACCAGGGCATACCATCGGCAGATGTGAGCAAGATGTCGACGGCGTTCATTGTAGGTGCTATTTTTGCGCTGATCTTCAACCATATCCGCCGTGATTCCTCCTCCTCTCTCCGTGTTTTCAGTGGACCGCCATGTTTAAGAATAACACTGTGTGACAAGGATTTGGACTGATCCATCTGTCTAAGATGTTAATGTGTTCTTTCACGTAGTTGGGTTTGGTCCTTGGAATGAATTATGTAATGCATACCGACCAGAGTTGCGTGACTTCGCCTGAAATCACTGCCCATCTCCCATTCCTGTATTTCCAGTCACTGGCCCAGTCTTTACCTTCATTCATTCCGACCAGCACCGTATAAACAATGTGTTTTCTCTCTTGATCTGAATCATTCGGGACCCTGGTCGTGGTCAGGATTTCTCCAGAGCCCTGCTCTACTGAAGTATGCTTTGTGGAGATCCGAAACCAAACTTTGAAGACCAATCCTTTAGGTAAAATCTCCATGACTACACCTTCCTCACCTCTTTCCTTTGAGAATTTCAGCAGAAACCCATCTGGGTCCAAAGCTTTATTCGAAACAATGGCTTTCCATAATGTCTTAAACCTAGAAGATGCTACAAGATTGATGAGGACATCAACAGGAGTAGGGTCGAAACGGAAAATTATAAGGCAGACCGAGTGACACCACAATAATCCATCTCGATACTTCACAACAAACCAGATATCACTCAGAAGAATCTAAAACTGTCAAAACCGAGACGTTTTCTAACGGATCAATGACAAAATCTCGAACCCAAATACTTCATGCCCTACATGTTGAGATGATATGTGAAGTTTTTCGCACAAAACATGAAGATTCTTAAGTTGGATCAACCCATTATCAAGTTAGGTCCATTATAAATCTAATTATGATCCATGAGAGTGAATTTTGAGGGTCAAAACAAAGAGATCAGTTGCTATTACGGTAACACATTTTCAAAGACATACTTAAGCTCCTTCTTGAACACCACATAGACTCTTTTGAGGACCACACCGTTCAATCATTAAAGTTTTGTGCTTTATTTATGTTACTTTTGCTAATTTTCATGTTGTTTTAGCCTACAAATGGGATACAAAAATCACATTGTAGATCATCCAACAATGAATCATCTTCTATCTGGAAAGTGTTTTCTCTTTTATAGTCCTTGTTGAACTATTCCCGAGCTTATCGGATTCATCTGTGGCGTTCGTTCTGATTCATTAAACGTTAACTCACAAGCCTTCGCAATACCGGTATTTCTAATCCAAGTTTGGTAAAGGTTTAGGACGATTCTTTGAAAAGTTTAGTGCGTTTTCTTTACGAATTTGGACCTAGATTTTGATCACGGGTTGATTTGAAATTCCGGTCGGTTCCATCTAGGATATTGATATCAAATATGAAATTGCAATCTAAAGTTGATGACTTTCTATTTCAGAAGCAATGTGAACTCTTATCCCTCCCCGTAATGTCATACTTACAACAACTGGAGGCTATCAAATGTCCACAAACAAGCGCATACAGGAACCAAACCGGAAGAAGATCCGACGATGAACCTGAATCTCATCAAAATTCGGTTCCTTTCTTTGAAACTTGAATCTTGAACATGTGCGGCAATTATGGTAAGAACGCGCAAGGGAGTAATCTAACCTGAGAGGCCGAGAAAAACCGAAGTCGCGACTCCGAGTGCGTACACACCAATCGCCGCCCCGATCAGACCATTCCCCGACCGAGTCACCGCACCGATTCCAGCGATCCCAGCGATTCCGACCGGGATCCCACTCAGCACCGCGTTTCGAGCCTTTCCCACCACGGATTCGGTGAAAACTTCAACGGCCCATTCCTTGAACTCCCCGGGTCCGAGGGTCTCCTCCTCAACGGAATCGCCATGGGTTTCACGCCCGCGTCGTCGAGAGGCAATGACTCGGAGAGCCGAATCGACCTGGGATTGACTCGGAGGAGAAGGGACCCACTTGAGGACAAGAGGAAACCGGAGAGTAGAGAGATTCCGGTGGACATCTGCGGCGGCGGAGAGGAGCTGGTATCGGCGAACTCCGGGAAAAGCGTGCTGCGCGAGGGAGATGGAGTGCTCGTACGCCGAATCACAAGCCGAGTCAAACTCGGGCGAGTTGGTTAGCACCGCCTTAACTCGCTTCGAAGCAGATATCCCCATCTCTCGTTTCCGCACGATGGATTTCGCTCCGGTAAGAGGGAGCAGAAAAGAAGCAAAAGCTCCGTGGAGTGGTACTCATCTCTGACCGTTAGATTTTCCCGTACATTTTCATCGGACGGTCGTAGTATTTTCCAGCAATTTTAATGTTTCTATTATTTCAAAAGGTGGTTGGGAGCCGAATTTTTTTTTTTTTTTTTTCCCTAAGGATGAACGTTTCGGGATTCGGTTCGGAATTTTAATGGTTCGGTTTAAAAACGGTTTATTCGATATTATAAAATTTGTATCAAATTAATATCGTATATTATTCGGTTCGATTCGGTTCGGTATTATAAAAGAAAGTTTCTTTTCCTCAGCTTGTCGTGTATTTCATGTATGTAGGCAAATTGAATTTGGAAAAGTAAAAATGCTACCACGTAAGAAAACTAGCGAAATTCTATATATTGTGAGTAAAATATTTTGTAATATAAAGAATTTCTGAGTAAAAATGTCGTCATCATCATTGAAATTTCTGAGTAAAAGTAAGGTTTATAACTTTATATAGGCGGATGTTGAAATTTTATTTAGTAAGTCCACTAATAAAGAAAAATGAGTTACTTATTTTTTTAAATTAGGTATCAAATCAATCAAATTATGAATAAAATTTTAAAATACACGAATGGTCCAAAAAACAATAATTGTTTTGAAAATTTATACAAGATGGATATATTGTAAATGGATCCATATATACACTTACATATGAAACAAGAATCCCAATATATGGTTTAACCTGTAAGAGAACGAATCTTATTTCCAATCCGGATTCGAATCCGGATTCGAGTTCTCGTTTGGAAAAAGTCATTCACATAGGTTTTTCTGATCTTCTGAAAGACAAAATAAGACCAAAGATCCGATGAATTTTTCGGATTATAAAAAAACATATGCCTTTACTAACACACCAGCACAAACTTTACAACAGAGGAAGACCCAACTCCCTTGTCCTTATTTTTTATTTTTTTAATTCATAGTTCCGACATTAACTTGTACACGTACGGCACCTGGCACATACATGCTCATACGGCTTTCTATTTGCTATATACTAAGCAGCGTCTGCGTTTGCGTTTGTGTCCATTTCGATCACGAGGCGAGGTTGAACGCTGCAATAGTTGCATAAACACCGAACATCAGGGTTAGGGCCGCTTCCCCAGACGCATTTTCCGCCAAACGCGCCTTTTTCGCTGCGGCAGCGACGGTAGCAAAAGCTCGGATAAATCCGAGGGGCGCATAGCTGAAAGCCCTTACCTCCTCCGAAGGCTTTCAGGCATTTGTCTTCGGCTTCTGTCTTTCTCACTTCTGCAGAAAATGCACATATATAGACGCATGCATGCATGCATGCAATATGAGATCCAAACCATATGATGGCTTTTATTTTTATTTTTTTAACATGTATATGGATGGATACATTATTACATTTTTTTTATAAAATACATTATTATATTTTACATGCACACTTTGTATATTCAAACTTACAAAACAAAACAAATAGAATTAGTAAAAAATTCACCAAATCTTTTGTCCAACTAAATCTTCTAAAAAAAATAGAGAAATCTACGTAAGTACTACTCTTCAAATGAAAACTTAATAAAATTATTATTATTGTCCTAATAGAATTATAATTTTAACTATCTACAATTTCAAAAATATCTTTAACTTGGTGGATTTAGACATATATACACGTATGTACCAACCTTTATATAAAAGTATGTGAATACACCGATATTTTTTGAAAATGGGAAAATTCATTAAAACCGTTTGATGAAATTGTTAAAAATCTCGAAATATATCAATTCCTTTTCAATTAACTGAACTTTTAGAATATTATAACTTTTTTTTTTATCAGAAAAATGATATTTGGAATATTTATATTTGAAAAATGAGAATCAGAATATCTATATTTTGGATGGAAATTTAAATAATTGATATGTTTAGTATACAAAAGAAAAAAATAATGTACTTATTTGGCTTTTTTTATCTTTATTTTTTATACTGACTTACGAGATCTTACGGGAAAAAAATATGAAGATCTAAAAGACATTACCAAGGACCGCCAAGATGAGAAGGAAGAACACAACGAACATGGAAAAAGACTTCATCACCTTCGCCATATCTATCGATCTATCTTCTCTCTCGCTTATATCGCTTTTGGAGTGTTCGAGGAAGTGGTCGATGTCTCTAGGTGACATTATATATATATATATATATATATATATACTATAATTATATATATTTGATAATAGGGAAGTTTATTCAACCTGGGGAAACTTCTAGGTGAGTTGGCAAGGAGTATAGTCAACATACCGAGAGGTTGGGGGTTCGACTTCTTATCCGCTCACCTATCGTCTATCAGTTACGGCTGATTTACCTCCCACGCGTGTGTTGCAGACTCGTGTGCGTGGGTTTGGGGTTTTCTTTGATCTGGGAGTATAGTCAACATACCGAGAGGTTGGGGGTTCGACTTCTTATCCGCTCACCTATCGTCTATCAGTTACGGCTGATTTACCTCCCACGCGTGTGTTGCAGGCTCGTGCGTGTGGGGTTGGGTTTACTCGGTCAGCGCGCCTGAAGGGTAGCAGTCGAGGTTCCCGATGTATAAAAAAAAAAAGGTTTACTCAATCTTTGTTTCAATTAAATATTAGAAAAGATCGAAAAACTAAGGGTGAATATATGTTCCACGTTTGGATTTGATTCCACAATAAAAAAATATATTTTATATGTTTTTTACTGTTAAACTATCCAAACTTTGATATGATAATTATAGGTTATATATATAAACCGAGTTAATGTTGCATAGAAGTTATCGACAACACATACGTAAGTCAACATTCTGCAACTGAGTCGAGGTCCGAGTCGTGTGGTCCATCCCGAGTTGATATGCCATTTTTCACGGCATCGAACACATCGGCCCCTGAGACGTTTACGCTTTAAACTCCACGTGGAGACCGACTAGCATGCTATTCACATTTCCGCCTACTGTTTCTCATTCACGTGTATATATATATATATATATATATATATATATATATGTATACATGCATACTTATCTACAAATTAAACCCAACATTACTATTCATGTTAATTTGTATTAATATCAAACTTAAAATATACACACATACACATATGTGGATACATTTATGCATGCAAGTCAATTCGTGGGTTCGCTAAGGTGGCTCGCCATGAGTTGGTTTGTTCGTTCCTTTTTTATTTAAATTTTTTGAACTCAGAAAATATGGACGAGTCAAATTCATTTTGACATCACTATATCAAATACCTATATCAAATCTGTTTTTCTATTATCAGACTAATCGCGGGGTCGGACCCATACATGAGATTTGAATTATGCACTCCCTTTCTAGTCTGAGGTTCGAATTTAGGGCGGGACATACGTTTTGCGTCCCCGTTTCACCGGTTGAATTACCTAGGTTGGATACATATATCAAATCTTAAAATTGTTAACAATTTCTGATACAATTTTAAACGATATTAAATTTCTCCGTTTCTTGTTAATAGGATAGATGATTTGTACATATAATCAATTTCAATTTCGCTATATAAACTTATCGCGTAAAAAAATAAAGAATAAATAAAAAACAAAAAACAAAAATAGAAAGAAAAAATTAAAATTAAAATAAAGAGTAAAAATATATACACATATATACATACAACCATATATATATTTATATATACACACATACATATATAAACACACATATATATAGACACCTTTATATATGCATATATATACACATATAATACCTGTATTTATATATCTATACATATATATATGCATGTGCATACACAAAATATATATATAGGTACGCATTTATGTGTATATATATATATGTATATATATTTATAAAATTTGTGTGTATATGTACGTGACAGGTTTATGTGGTGAAATTGATTAAATGTACGACTACATCATCCGGTTAATGAAAATCGGAAAAATTTAACTTTAGAAGTATCAAAAATTACTATCTCATACCAAAAAAAAAAAATTACTATCGATTTTAGAATTTGGTATATATATATTTAACACATTTTAGATTTGAATATAATTTTTTTATCAAATTAAAAATTTGTGGAAAACATTAGTATATTTAAATAAATTCTTTCTCTATATATCCAAGCGTGCAGTAGCCAGTTCATTAATCTAACTTTCTGGGGTTGGTTCTTCTTCTTCGTTCAAAACTCTTTTAGTCGGTCTGGGAGTAACTGTTTGTGACAAAAAAAAGAGAGAATTTATTGCCGTTTATAGGATTATTTATAGGATTATTCATAAACCCTAATTTCTGAAAACCCCCAAAATCACCCCTGGCGCTGTAGTGTGCAAAAAATTTGCTTCCTTCAATCTCTGCAGCTGCATCGCATCGCATCGAATTCTCCGTTCTTCGAATTAACGAACAGTACCACGAAACCACGATGGATGAATTTGCCTTCTCTCGGACAGATTCTCGTTCGATAATGTCGCAGATTAAGCATCAAGAGCAGCAGCTTTGGCTCAAGAGAAGGTACCTTCCTCCACTTCTTTTTCTTCCGCAGTATAAACACTCCTCTGAGCCCTTGATCACTTTGAAGAACGAATGAACAATCTGATTAGTTTTGCCTGATTGCAATATCTCGATCCTTCAGATGGAATAAAATCTAGTGTTTTATGTGAGGGTATTAGGATTCTGTCGTGAGTTAGACACAACATGGGGTTTCCGATAAATGTTTTTTTTTTCTCACTCGAATTCGAACTCCAATTGGTTTGAACGGACGAGTGCAAAGAGAAATCAAAGGATTTATGTTAGAAAAACCATGTTCTGTTTGGTTCTGGATGAAGTTTCAAGCTTCTTCTTTGTCCTTTATGTCTGTAGGTGGCTGCTGGATTCTCCTGTGGCTGAATCCAAGCATGATACAGCTGAAATACCTGACTTTCTCAACTCCGAGTAAGTTTTTTCTTTTTCTTTCTCTAATGTGATTTCATTGCTTTTATCCATTTGCTATTGTTTTGTTACTGAATACTAAGTTCTTGATTTTTGCTGGTTGTGTTCTATAGGTGCCTGTCCGAAAGTTTACTCAGGGAGGATGATGTAAGTCTATTTCCTTCTCTGTCTATGTATATGTTTTCGGTATTCGCAGTTGGATACTTTCCTCTGTAAGTCTTTTCATTTTTACCATCTACTGCCATGCCAGATATTCTACGAGACCGTGAAATCACGTGTTGAGGAGGCATTTGGGATATGGGATAATGAAGAAGTACATAATGCCGTTCAACAAAACAAATCATCGGTTTTTGCTAATGAAGTGATCAGAATGCTTGGGATGAGTCTTGATGCTTTGTCGAATAAAGGGCTTTATCTTATCGCCGTGATAATGACAGGAGGCTCAGTTGCGTTTGAGAAAACTCGCCCGAAACTGAAAGAGGCTATCAGAGATTTTATAGCCAAAGATTTCAGAAAAGTGTTCGGTGATGGAAAATCTGATGTCCTCAAGCAGCTTCATAATGTTCTCGGTGATCCTGGAAATTTCAGGAAGACGAGCACTATGAATTTGTTCCCCACTTTCCAGTCCCAACGTGATGCTGCAATCAAGGTACTGAACAAGCTAGAATGCTTGTCAATTCAGACACTAATTGCTATGAAAAGGAAACTTGAGGGCTCTAGAATCATTCCTCAGTTAAAACCCAGAGAAAAATCATGTTCGAATCGACGCCATCTGATAAAACAGGTGAGGCAAGCTAGTGAAAAGATGCTTTCAGAACTTTCCGAAGAAGATAAACTGCAGGAGCCTTTGGCCAAAGCGATGTCTTTAGTAAATTTAGCACTTAAGCTAGATCCTGAGCGTAAATGTGTTGCTTCAGCTGATTTTTTCCAGTTCACACCTGAAACAACGCATTTGCAGAATGAGATACTGAAGGCAATCTGCTTACTCCACAAAAAGGTCAGGTTTCCTGAACTGAAAAGGATACAGCTGTTGTTAGGCCAGGAAGCCAACATCTCAAACGACAGTTTAAGATCAGCAATCAGGAAAATGCTGATCGAATATCTGTTCGAGTGCAGTGATATGGACCCCATTCCAGACTTCTTACCGAAAGTTCTTGCATTGATAAATGGGAGTTCACGGAGTGTAGAACATAGGTTATTTCCAGGAGAGGTGGTTGAAGAAGAGGTGGAATGCATATTAAATGCGAGTGCTCAAGTTAAGGAAGTTTTATGGGAATGGTTTCCAGATTACGAGCTTGATCAGGACTTTGATGATGCTTACATGGAAGAATTTGAAGACAGTGATGATGAGAACTTTATATCTTATGATAATGACGAGCTTGTTAGTGGAAGTAATAAATGTCGAAAACTACAAGGCAGAGATAGTCGAGATTATATTACTGGTTCGTTCGATCCGGATCATGAAGAAAGTAGTGCAGAGTGCACTGTTTCTGAATCTGGTGCCTCTAACTGTGGAAGCAATCAAAGGGTTCTCAGCTCTTCTGCGGATAGAAATGCGATAATTAACTTCACAGAGAGTGTTACAAGAGTCCAACCCAGTTCTCTTGATGTCACTCCTATGTCCAGTGAATTAAGATTGGTCAAAGTTAGACACAACTTGGATATGAGCAGATGCAAAATCAAGGTCGAAATGGACCAAGTAGAAGAGGCTATCAGGATTGAATCAGAGAACAAGTTTGGTTCACGGTCATTATCCTCCATCAGAAGCATGAAGACTGATCATGAAGAAGAGCAGAAGCCACCACCGCGAAGGCAAAACCAGTACCTCACCGTCCAAGAAGTCTCTGACGAGACAAGCATGGTTGCATATAACCTAGTTGGTCATTTACTAGAGAAGTTTGCGGATGGAAAAGGCCTAGAATTAGGTGAGAACGACAGAGCATATCTTGGAGGAGGCGATTCCACTTTTCGAGGAAATGAAGGTAACAGAAACAGAAAGGCTCAACCTTTTCACAAAAGTCCAAGACTTTGCCTGTGCGTGTTTAGTATAGCAGTAAGAAGCTTACTGTTCTATGGCTATGCAGGTGGTGGAAAGAAGTCAGATGGATCGGTATTTGTTGGCGTCGTCAAAGAGCTAATGCCCTCCATTGACAGGAGGTATTTCTTGCATAGCGATTTTATCAATGATCTTGGATAAGCTGTATCCATGGCCATAACCATAATGATCTGATCACCGGTCATTGTGTTGTTTCCTGCATGCAGTGTGTTGATGAGATTGGAAGAGCTGATGGACGTGTGATAGCGTTGGCCTCAGCTTCCATCATGGCCAATGGTTTGATAGCCGAAGCAAAAACCCAGAAGAAGGAAAAAAAAAAAAAACACAACGCAGGGGAAATTCCATTGCAAAAGCAAAGGAAATGAACTGAGAAAACCCGACCAAGGAAGACAGACAAAAGGTGAAGCAATAGTAAGAAACTTGTAAGCCCAGTAGCATCATTTCTCCTCACATCTTCTTCTTGGCCTTATTCACCCCTTTTTCTGGGTTTTGGGGGGGGGGGGGATTTCAAATTTTGGTTTTTTTTGATAAAAATATTAATTTTTGGAAAATGATTTTTTTGTTATTTTCTTTTATCCATTTTGATTATGATTCGGTTTTTAAACCATATGATTTTTATATCGGATTTGACACAGTGTGGTTTATAATCATGCATTATTAGGTTATAACCAAATAGATCAGCCTAGTTAAAACATGTATATGTATACATACAAATATCTCTGTGATTGCAACTATACGATATTTTTTTTAATGTTATATATATAAAAAACCTTCAACTATATAATTTACTCAAAAAAGTTAACTTTAAACTCAGATATAAAAATCCATCAACTTTTAATTTTTAGGAAAAAATTCATCAATGATTTAATTTATTAAAAGACCTTATATTTCAAATTTATTATACTCTATCAACTTTTAATTTTGGAAAAAAAAAACAACAACTATCTATCTTATTTGAAAAACCTTACATTAATTTTATTATAAAAATCAACCAATCGTTAATTTAAAAAATTATATATAAAATATATAATTCTAAGTATTAAAGTGTAAAACTAAATATTTATATATTTATTATATTGTGATACTTAAAATTAAAATTTATATATTTAGTTTTTAATTTTGATATTTAGAATGATATAATTTGCATAAATCATCCTATATGTTATAAATTTGTATATAAATTTTATATTTAAATTGAAATATATTTTATTGATTGAATTTATAATTGCATATGACAAATTGACAATACCGTAATATTTAAGATATATTAATATTTCAGATGTTTGAGTTTTTATAAAACAAAGTTAGTAAATGAAATATTATATTGTATAATTTGAATATAAATTATTAAATAATAGATTTTTAAAAATAAAGGTTAGATGTATTTTATAATATATATTGTCTTAGACGTCTTACTTCATCATCACATTTACAGTACACCATATCTTACGGGAATTCTTAAATCACAATTCACATGCTTTTCTTCTGTAATTACAAATACCCACTACATTGTAATCATTAATAAAACGAACACGGCACGAAGAACGAACATACATACATACTTCCATCAGAGAGAGAGAGAGAGAGAGAGAGAGAGGGGAGAAAAAGGGAAAAACTTCCCCCGTGGAAGAGAAATGGCGATCGGAGAAGAATATCCTCCGTAGTCTTCAGGTTCTTATTCTCTTCTCTTTCTGCTTCGGTGCGTGCTCGAATCGTCGTTGCATGTGCACCATTGCTGTGTGTGTATGTATGTATGTATGTATGTATGTATGTATGTATGTATGTATGTATGTATGTATGTATGTATGTATGTATGTATGTATGTATGTATGTATCTGTCGCGCGAAATGTTCGCCGAAGGAGTCGATCTATCTAGACATCTGTGTGTGTCCGGGAGCTCGTCTAATGTTTCGAGTATTTGGCGGATATCATTTGACCGGATCGATGTTTGTTTCCATCTTGTTTTCCGATTCATGTATGTGGATGGATTTTTGGAATGTGAGTTTGGTCTTGGTGAGGTTTTGTGTTTCTCTTTGATGGTGAATAGATGAATTCTGGTATGGACTCCGTCAGTTTACGCCTGATTTCAATTTTTTTCGGTTATACTCGGGATCGTCTTGGTGGTTGATGTGGATTTCGTAACACTGGTCATCTTTTGTGTGTCTATTCCAGAGAAGAATGTGCTTCTTCGATTGCATGTGCATGTTGACCACAGACCCAATTTTCGGTTTGTTTTGTTGTCTTCCAGGTCTTGTCTGATAAATATACTCGAAGTTTTTTTTTTTGTTAAAGGTTTGTGTTTTCATTACTTTCGAATCAGTTCAAAATGCTTTTTCAACCTATATAAAAGAGGTGAAAAGCCAAAATAATCAAAAGAGGCCTTGCGGCCGATATCGCCCTGATCTAGTGGTTAATAAAGTTTTCCTAATTAGTCCCAAAATAGTAAAGATGACCCAAGCAGAAACCAATATACTCGAAGTTGCAGTGTGTTTAATGCTTTTGGGCTATCTGGAGGAGGTTCTGAGCAGACATGTTATTACAGGTTGAGGAGGGGGGAAGTTGGGGGGAGACGGGTGGAGGGCTTGTGTCTTGAGGACTGATGTTTTCTTGGTGGAGAGGAGGAGAAATGGACTTGTGGAAAAGCTGGTGTGGTAAATTTGCAGAGAGTTGGATCTTTGGTTCGGGATATGAACGAGCCTTGTATTTCACAAACGCGGATAAAGGTTGCTGTAAAAACTGTAAGATTCTATCGTTCGCTCTTCTAGGGCCCCTGCTATTGAACACTGTTTCACATTGCGTGTATGGTTTCTTCATTTTTCAACCTGTTTGCTGGATTATAATTGCTGTTCATTATGTTTAGTTATTGTGTTTTGCTTGATGACACATTTCTTAAGGTATCATTTCCTCGAGTTTCTAATGCACGGGTCCGCAAAATGCTTAAGCCAGAAAAGTGGCAGGCGACTTTCGATAGCGATGGAAAGATTTCTGGTTTCCAGAAAGTGCTCAAATTAATTATTTTAGGGGTATGTTCTCCTTCTGCAGAAAAAAATGTGATGGTCATGCTGAAGCTGTTGCCATCGTTTTCAAATTACTCTAACGCACCTAAAAACTTTATGATTATGCTCTTAAAGCCATGCTCTAATGCATGCTGTGATTGTTCCATGGTAGGGAATTGATCCATCTATTCGAGCTGAAGTTTGGGAATTTCTTCTTGGCTGTTACGCATTGAGCAGCACTTCGGAGTATCGTAGGCAACTCAGGGTAGCTCGCAGGTTGGGCAGTTTGGTTGTGTTGCTCTTCTATCACCACTTGGAGATATGGAGCTAAGTGAAAAAGTTTGTTTAATCAAAAGCTTAAAGTGTTGCTGGCAATTCATGCAGGGAACGCTACACTGAACTGCTCAAGCAATGTCAGATGATGCATTCGAGTGTGGGAACTGGCTCGCTTGCCTATGTAGTGGGGTCTAAAGTTATGGATATGCGGAAATCGTATAGAAATGAGGTGGCAAAGGATGGTACAGCTGAAAGCAGAGAAGGTTATGTAGATGATACTGATAATACTGAGAATCACGGTGATTGTAGATATGATTGTACTGATACATCTCATGCGCACAGAAGGGGAAGCTCTAGTGAGTCAGTTGACCTTGTAAAGGGAAGAGAAAGTCCTGATAGCCCAGCATATGACACTTCCCCGTCTGCACCTGCATCCCCCAATCCGTATATTGCTGACAGGTTTTTTGATTTCCCCCCTTTACCCGTCACAGATTTGTTTGGGAGAAGTAGTTTAGATAAGAAAGGGTTTTCTACTCCTGATGAAGAAGCTGCATTGCAAAGCGAAACAAGATTTGAGAATGCGGTTGTGCACAGTTTTCGAATTGATAGCAACAGCGATATAGTTATAGAACCACACGAATCCACTTCTAGCAATGAGAATACTTTCATTAATTCGGAAATCGAAGTGATGCATCCGGACTCTGTTGGACCACCATCACGTTCCTGTTGCGCAGCAGAAATAGTCGATGGTTTGAGAGTATCAGATGTCCCGGAAGTCCCATCAACAAAGGGTTCCCCATCTTGTGGTGAACCTGTCAGAGAAGTTAGAGTGTCTGAATGGCTTTGGACATTGCACCGCATAGGTAGCAGTTCTGCTCGTTTTGTTTTATTCTGGCAACTTCCATGGCATCCTGTTTTGTTTCCCTTTCAGTTTCAGGTTGTGCATAGTTCCTGGTTTGATATTCCTTAGCACCACTTACTTTCTTGTTTCCACAGTTGTTGATGTGGTAAGAACGGATAGCCACCTCGAGTTCTATGAGGATCCAAGAAATCTAGGAAGAATGTCAGATATCCTAGCGGTTTATGCTTGGGTTGATCCTGCAACGGGTTATTGCCAAGGTTTCTGAATTTTGCTTGAGTTGGATTGTCGACATCTTATCAACTGAAACTCTTTAAGGCTATTGTGGTATTGTGTACTAACTTTATGATTGCTAATCTGTTGACAGGTATGAGTGATTTAGTGTCCCCTTTTGTGGTTCTTTTTGAGGATAATGCTGATGCCTTTTGGTGCTTTGAAATGCTCATAAGAAGAATGGTATTGGATGCTCATTGATATGTTACATATGTTATGCTGTAATTTGGACTTCTTTAGCTAAAATGCGTGAACATCTGCAGCGTGCAAACTTTCAGATGGAGGGACCGACTGGAGTTATGAAACAGTTGCGATCACTGTGGCAGATACTGCAACTTACAGATAAAGAAATTTTTTCTCACCTATTACATATTGGTGCTGAAAGCCTTCATTTTGCGTTCCGGATGCTATTAGTACTTTTCCGACGGGAGTTGCCTTTTAACGAGGCTCTCAGGATGTGGGAGGTTGGTAGTTCCCCTGTCGTCTGCTTCATGTACTCACTCTGTTGTTTAGTCTTGGCTCCTTTTGTTCTTCTGGTTGATGGACAGGAGCTAAATTTTTGTTATCTTTGGTGATCAATCAAAATAGGATAATTTAAAATAAATTAGTTTATTTTTTGTTTTTTTAACTACTTCCATAACACCCATCTTTAAAAATTAATTTTTGGGTAGAAATATGATATTTAGGTTTTTTACATGCAATTCTGTCCTACTCCTAAATATATGGATTTTCCATTTAAGAGTTGCACAGAACTTATGCCGCAGTTTTGTGCACAACATTGAATGCAGTTATCTATAAATCTCTGAAGTGGGGCAGTTTCTTGAAGAAGTAATTATGGTTCTTGACTGTTCTAGCTTATGACCTAGAGATATTCTGATAAACTTCTTGAGTACATGAGGAGCTTGCTATCCCTTGGTTTCACTTATCCGATTGAAAAGAATCTTCCTAACATGCAGCTGGGGAAAAAATATTTATGAGTTTATGTCTGATGTAGATGATCTGGGCTACTGATTTTGATGAGTCTGTCGCTGGAACTTTGGAGAGTGACTGCTTAGAGCCCTTGGTAGTTGAGCTTCCAAGGCAGTCTGGAGAAGTTGTGGGAGAAAACATAGATGATGCAAGTTCAAAGACCGAACCAATTTCAAAGAGTGGGCCACTTCCAAAGAGCAGCCCATTGTTAATGAGCGGTCTGTCGTCAAAGAGCGGTCTGCTGCCAAAAAGTGGTCCGTTGCCAAAGACTAGTCCAATGTCTGATGCTGCTGCCGTGAAGTCAGATTCTGCATATCATTTCTGTGGCTTGACAGGGAGGTTGTGGTCAAGGAACGAGAGATCACAAGTCTCTTCTTTAGTGTCATCATTCAGGAAAGGGGATGATGAGCTTCCTGTCTTCTGTGTTGCGGCGATTTTAATCATGAATCGGCATAAGATCATGAAAGAAACCTGTTCAATTGATGACATGATAAATGTAAGATATTTTCACTGCACAGATTAGTTCCTTATATACATGCTGGATTTTTTCTAGTCACATGTAGTAGTGATCTGCATGTGCATGCCTAGAGCTCTGTCCCTATGTTCTAAATTTACGTATAATATCATGCAAGGTTTTGCTTGTCGAGGTTGCTATCTAGGACGTCTGGTTACAGTTTATGGCCATCTTTGCTGTTAGGATCTTTGGAAATAAGCAAATGAGGCACTAATTTAACATTATTAAGGATGGATCGTTGTTATCTGCTTTCATCTTCTTGCTGTGTTTTATCAAATGCTGCCATTTATATCATTGTTTCCCACTTGTGAAGCTTTTTGGGGTCTTGATATCTTTGTTTCTGTTGCTTGATACTCTACTATGCCTCTTCACAACTTGTGTTGGATATGCTTCTATTCTGATCCTGGAATTTGTACCCATTCGATATGTTTGCAGATTTTCAATGATAAGCTGCTGGTAATTCGTGTGAGAAGATGCATTCGCTTAGCCATCAAACTTCGTAAGAAATACGTGTACAAGGTTAGATGCTCAACAAGTAGCAACTTTCTCCCTGTTCTGTCTCTGCTCCTTTTCTCTTCCATTCTTTGTTTTGAGGAATCCTCTTCTTGGGGTTATAACTTTATCTCAATGCATTCGTTATGGAATTTTCCCCGAGCATCTTTCCACGTAAATTTTACCTGAGGAGTATAGAATTTGTACCTAAATTTTCTCTGTTACTGAAACTGACCAAAAACACCAGAGGCAAGAGGCAGATAGTTTCTGGGGTAGATTGTGAAAACTTTCATGTATCAGGCATCTCTTTGCCTTTTCTTTTCCTTGTCTAACTGCAAAACTCTTGTTAGAATCAGCTAAGCAAGAAAAAGAGCCAGAATCAATCTAGGAACCACAACAAGGAACAAATGCAGAATGAAACCAAGATAGAGATTCAAACCCAGGAGGAGATCCAGAGCCATGATGGGAACCAGGGGGTCATCTTCACATAACTAGGTCATCTTTGAGTGCGGGTTTCCAAGAAGTTCCAAGATCCGTGCCTACATCATGTTTGCCGACGACATTTTTGAGGTAACCATTTTGATTTTTGGCTGAAGAACACGTTCATGCATCACCATGAAAAAAACAGAATCATGTCAACGTGTTTTGACATTTCAGTTCCGCAACTTGTTTTGGTCTGAAGCTGGTAAATGACCAGTGGAGATGCTTTTGGTTTGGTCCGCTTGGAATTTCTGTGTTATTTTTTTTTTTTGGTTATTAACTGTCATCGATTCTTCTCTTTTGTTGCCCATCTCCTTTTCAACCTTTTTTTTTTTTTAAATTTGTCGTTTCTTCTTCAAGGCACAGGGAGATAGAGATGGAGCCGGAGTTTGCGAGTAAAAGTTCAGCCGTTTGGGAATTCACCCGGGACTCGTAAGTTATAACCAGAGGTGTAGGCAAATGAAACTTGACCCTTGTCTCTAGTGCGGGAAGATATATATATATATATATATATATATATTTTGGTTGATTTTATTTTGCGTGAATGTCAGGGATGTTATAGAAGCACACGAAAGTACTAAGAACTACAGTGGTTTATAGAGAGGCTTTCTGGGCAACGGTTGTGGTTACATGTAATGAACTGAGTATACGCCAAATACGGTGCAGAGATTTACTTGTGAAACCAGCCTTTAGAATTTTTTTAAAAAAATTTGGTTTTTTTTGAAAATTTTATAAAATTGGATTCGATTTCGAAGAAAATTTGGTTGAATTTTGAATGGTGGGAAAAGACGTTAGAGCAGACGAACGGGAATCAAATTCGTAAATACTTGACGAAATTAAACCGGATTTTCGTGGGCCCAAAAACGAATGAATGATGGGCCGGACCTTCCATATCTAAATCTTTTGATAAGTTGTAGTAGTTTGGGCCGAAGTAGCTTCTAGGGTTTGTTTTTATGTTTACTAGTATCCTCCTTATAAATACCTGATGTCACTCGTTTGCGTCCTCCGACGGCGATTTGCGGGGGAGAAGAAGCTTCAGAGAGCTCCTGACACGAAAATGGTACTGCTTCTTGTTTCTCCGTCGACGTCGAAGCATTCGATTTTGTAGATTATGCGGTGTCGAGTAGGTTTCTCGCTTTAGCTTCTTAGGTTGAACCTTTCACGTGATTTTGTTGGGCGCAAGAGTTTGTATGTGAGTGAAAGAGGATGCTTTGTCGTGGAAAATCGGTGTAGGTTTTGAATAATTGAGTTGGATGATATGATTATATCGTAGATGGATACTATAGGTTTGGTAAAGTTCTGTCACTAATACTCGTAGCCGATCCGTTTCTATGTGCAGCATATGAGCTTCGATGTAGTAATGCCCCTTGGAAAACTGATCGTTTATGTTGCAGAGTTTGCCCTTTCTACATGTGGGTGGCTTCCGAGCTTGCATTGTATTGATGTATCTTGTCTTTTTTTTGTGTGTGCCTGTGCTTGTGATCTGCAGCCTAAGCAAATCAACGAGATTAAGGACTTCCTCCTGACAGCAAGGAGGAAGGATGCTCGGTCCGTGAAGATCAAGAGGAGCAAAGACGTTGTCAAGTTCAAGGTCCGATGCTCCAAGTATCTCTACACCCTCTGCGTCTTTGACCAAGAGAAGGCTGACAAGTTGAAACAATCTCTTCCTCCAGGTTTAGTCTTTTTTCTCTCTATTCAGTTGTATGCTTCGTAACTGTGCACGAAAACAGAGGCACGAAAACAGAGGGACCTCGAGCTTGGACCAAATTGAAAACCGAATGCCCTTGTAAAATTTGCACTATCTAAACAAGAAGGCCGGGTGTATATGCGAGTATGTGTAAGATATCTGCAGATGCATATGGAATCATATACACAGTTAGAAGTTGATGGGTTATATGTGAAAAGATGGATGCTTTAATTCTGAAAGCTGAGAGCCTGAAGCTCTGATATTGCAGGGTTGAGTGTACAAGACCTGTGAGATGAAACAAGCATTGGCAGATGAGAGGCTCCGTATTGAGGTTTACGTTCATGTTGAAACGATCAGTTTGTTGATGTGGCGCTCTACTCTACTTGTTAGGGGATTTTGTTTTTTCCTCTTTTGAATGATTCAAAACTTGGTTTTGGTTGTTTACATGGAGTGGAAGACGTGTTTTAAGTTTTTAAACAGGTTTGTTGTATTCATCATCCTCCTATTACATCTCGATTTGGAGTTTTAACACAGTCTTGTTTGATCAAATGTTCAAAACAAACTAACCACACGCAGTTGTTGTTAAGGATGGTCATTTCGGTTTGATTATAACTTATGCAAACCGGTTGTATACAATTTTTCTAAAACCGGTCTTGAATCGATCTCTAAACCGTGGTTTAATCGAATCTTTTCTTCCATTCAAATGAGTCGAGAGAGCTTCTGAAAATCCTCCTATAAACTGGTGCATGACTTCATCTCAAATTGGGTTTGACGCGTTTCTTACACATGGATCATGATGCATCGACTTCTGCAATATCGATGTAACCAAAGGAAAAGCCGCAACATTTAAAAAAAAAAAAAACTTAGATTGGTATATTAAATCATTTAAAAATTTAATTTAATTTTATATTTTGAAAGTTTTCGTCTCTGTTCCTTTTTCCTTCTCATCTTTCTCCGAATCGGTTCTAGGGTTTTCGCTTTTAATCGTTTATTTCTCTGGATCTTCACGTTCGAAGGATTCTAGTGCAATCGCACTAAAATCTTCTCTCAATTCGGTCTTCCAATCTCGCAATCTCAGGTAATCGTTCTTCAGGGACTCGAATTTGGAACACTAGGTTTAGCGATTGTCGGATACAGAAGTTCGACGATGGCTCTGGTGTTGAAGCCAACCAGATCGCGTGAACAGGACGATTCGTCGTTCAAATCGAACAATCTCTGGGTCGGTAGCTTATCCACCGATACTACGGAGTCGGATCTGGCCGAGTTGTTCGGGAGGTTCGGCGACGTCGACAGAATCACGGCGTATTCGTCTCGTTGCTTCGCTTTCATCTACTTCAGGCGCGTAGAGGAGGCGGTAGCTGCGAAGGAGGCGCTTCAGGGCACCAGCTTGAACGGGAGCCAGATTAAGATCGAATACGCTCGACCGGTTTGTTCTCATCTCTGCGTTTCGTTAGGTTTCCATTGTTATTCACTGTTGACGATGAAATTGATTTTCCGGAATCGTTGTCCAAATTCTCAGATCTTAGTTGTGTTCTTATGCTTGTTTGAACGTATTTGCATGAGTGCTTTTGCTCGTCTCAATCGAAATCAAAACCCTAGATTTTCTGTCATCGCTGATTGAATCCTGACGACAGAAATCTGATCCGAACTAAGAACTCAACTCAAATTCGCCATCAGCATCACCATAATCGAACACACACGCAGAAAATCGACTACTCTGTACATTGTTGGGAAAATCAACGTGAAAAGCCCAAATGTCAGAATCCAAACGCAGTGGATTCCTAAAAGGTGCTTCAATCTCCAATTTGTTGCCCCCTTAGCTGTGATTTGGCGGGGTAAGCATTTATCGTTCTGTCATTATCAGGAGCATGTTCTTTTGGTTCATCCAATCCAGATGCTGTCGTTTTTGCTACGAATCCAATAAGCAGTCATTGTATTCGTACATATCCCATCGCGTGGGGATTTGAAAACGCTCGAGATGAACACAGAGCAAAAAATTGCCAATCTAGCATATCGATCTCCAGCCGAACAAACGATATATGTGGAATGGATGGTTTGGTATAGGAGTTTGGTTGTCTTGTACTGAAATTTTGCCTGGCAATGGATTACATGCCTTGATTGTCCGATGGCTCTCGGCTCCAAGTTCACGTCGCCGGACTTGTTAGTGTGCGGATTCGGGTTTTGTTTTCGCTCGAAGCATAGAAAAGTACTCTCACTTTGGCACCGTTGTTCAGTTCTTACAGCACCAGACGCCATGGATGGATGACACATGATTTCCTTGCTCAGCTTGAATTCTTCACATATTGTCCGTGGATAGCATACGTTTGGTCAACACAAGATTGTCTTGCAAACAGTGTCAGGGTTTTGCAATTTTGGCAAAAGAGGCTGTTTTGGCTCTGGTTCTGCAGATGTGTGTTTGGTTTGGCAACTGATATGAATCGGAAAACCTAAAATTTTGTGTGAATGATGAACTGAAGTCTGGTTTATGAACATAACACGGTGGCAAGGCGAAACCCTTATTTCTTTTTTCTTTTTTCCTTGGCAGGCAAAACCTTGTAAGAGTCTTTGGGTGGGTGGTATCAGCTCTGCTGTCTCGAAAGATGACCTGGAGATGGAGTTCAGAAAATTCGGAAAGATTGAGGATTTTAGGTTTCTTAGGGAGCGGAGGATGGCTTTCGTCGATTATCATGAGATAGAAGATGCTATGCAGGCTGCAAAGAGCATGAATGGCAAGCGGATAGGCGGTAGCTTTCTTCGTGTTGATTTTCTCCGCTCACAGGCTCCAAGAAGAGTAAGCATAATTTTGATATCTGTTCTTTTTTCATTTGACTACACTATCTTTTTCACCGGAGCCGATGAAAGTAAGCTTCAATCCACATTGATGGACATTTTCATGTGTTTCCAAGTGGAGCGTTTACTGCTCACGGGCTTCTGTCTTTTTCACTTCTGCATCTAGTCTCTCGTATCTTCAAATTACTACCATTGCAGAATTTGCTTTTCAGCTCTGAAAATGCTTTTTTATATTTGCTTAGGAACAATGGGCTGGCTCTTATGACACCAGGGATGGTCATTTTTCAGGCAGGGATGGCAATCTGAGTGCTAAACAACCGGTTAGTCTAAATGGTGAAATATATATTTCGTTCTTTTGCTGCTTATGTGTTGATAGTAACTGGCTTTCATGCTTCATTGTCGTAACAATTCATGAGGCCATGCTCTTGTTTCGTTTGTAATATATGTCTGCTGTTTTTTCTTTTACAGTTTCCTCACTCTTTTGGAGATGGCAAAGCAGACGGCCAACCAAGTAACATTCTGTGGATTGGTTACCCTCCTTCTGTTCAGATAGATGAACAAATGCTACACAATGCCATGATACTCTTTGGTGAGATTGAGAGGATTAAAAGTTTCCCGTCAAGGCATTTTTCACTTGTAGAATTTAGGAGTGCCGAGGAAGCTCGTCGTGCTAAGGAAGGATTGCAAGGGAGATTATTTAATGATCCAAGAATCACCATTATGTACTCAAACTGTGACCTGCCTCATGGGCAAGATAATACCAGATTTTATTCTGGGGTCAAACGGTCAAGGCCAGAAATGTTCATGAATGACCCTCCATTCACATCTTCGCCAACAGATACTTATGGTCCTGGTAATGCCGTAATGGGTTCTAGGGCACCACATTCTAGTGGAATTCCTGGGTCTATGAGGCTATTACGAGGTAGCATGGAACGACAACAAGCTGATACAGAATATAGCGATGCGGATGGTAGGGAGTCTACTTGGAGAAGACCGTCTCCCCGTGGTGATGGAATACTCCCATCTCCTGCTCAAGGCATGAGGCTAAAACCTGGCTCTTGGGAAGGATATGATCCTGCTCAGTTGGATAGAGAAACCAAGCGGACCAGGAGAGATGGCTCGGTGGACGCATATCCTCCGGTGGGTATGGAGGATCGTGTAACGGGTTTAGACAGGTCTTATGGGCTGGGTCCTGTTGTTGCAAGACCAGGTCGTGGCTTTCCCAATGCTGATCACATTTGGAGAGGAACTATTGCTAAAGGCGGAACTCCCATTTGTCATGCTCGTTGTGTACCCATCGGAAAGGGGATTGAGATTGAACTGTGAGCATCTTTTGCCCTTTTTGCTTTTCATTTGTGGAAGTTTTCGTATGTTTAATTAGGAAGTTCAGTAGCAGCCTATGAAAAAACGTTTAGATTTCTAATTATAAAGTCTTTTAAAGCTAAGAGTGCGTATTGTAGGTAATCATCCCTATTGTAGATAGGTGATACTGTGATGTCTTAAACTGAGTTTCATGGTTTTGATGCATATAATTCATAAAAATGTCTTCAATCGCTGATCCTGTGCTTTTCAAATGATTTACAGCCCTGAGGTAGTCAATTGTTCAGCAAGAACTGGGTTGGATATGCTCGCCAAACACTACGCCGAGGCAATTGGATTTGACACCGTTTTCTTCTTACCAGACAGTGAAGACGATTTTGCCTCTTACACTGAGTTTCTGCATTACCTTGGTTCAAAGAATCGAGCTGGTGTTGCCAAATTAGATGATGGAACCACTTTATTCTTGGTGCCGCCATCTGATTTCTTGACAACGGTACTCAAAGTTTCAGGTCCTGAACGGCTCTATGGTATAGTTCTCAAGTTGCCTCCTCCCCCTATTCCCGCTGCAGCATCCTATAGACCAGAATCTCAGTCCTTTCCTCCTCCGTCTTATGTGGATCGACCACTGGATTCACCTGCCAACCTCAGTCAGGGTCTATATCGTGGTAGGGAAGATCAAGCCCCAACATTGGATTACCACAGGGGCACACAGGAAGAGTTGAAGCCTCCATCAAAACCATTGATTGCCCCTACCAGTGAGCCTGTTTGGGGTCAATCTAGCCCTAAACCTGGGATTCACTTCACGCCAGAGCTTATAGCCACTCTGGTAAACTTGCTCCCGGCAACTTCTCAACCTGTTGCCCCCGACACTCACCAACCTATGTCGAGCACTTCAACCCTCGTTTCTACAACACCTCAATCCATTGGACTGGCAAATGTAGGAACTCCATTGCAGGATCAACAGACAATCACTGAACCCACGAGTCAATTCTTCCAACTATTTGGGAATCAGTACAATCCAACTGCTCAACTACCCCCTCCTCCACCTCCTGTGACAACCACACCCAGATACTCGGGCGGAATGATTCATGGTGGCATGCAATTCCAAGCCCCTCCTGTAAGCATGCCTCAGCAGACTCTGTTACCGAGTCTGCCCGCAAATTATTATCCGATGTATCCTCAGAATTCACATTATGCCGTTTCTCAGCCCACCACACAACAATATCAGCCGGAAGCTCCCATGCCTAACCAAAACTGTGGAGCAGTTCCTGGAGCTGGAACTCCTGAATTGCACGGGTATCCGGCTTATCAGCAAGCTAGCTATCCTGGTGTAACAACTAGTCAGGCACATACTGCTAATTCTTCCCACCTTCAAGCTGCCATACCATCATCAGCCAATAAGGCAAACGTAGAGCTTCCAGGCCAGGAACAGCAGCTCCGGCCTGTGCTTCCTGGAACTGATGATAAGGTTGCAGCCGATGGAGATGCCGATAAAAATCAGCGATATCAATCAACGTTACAGTTTGCGGCCAATCTTCTTCTCCAGATACAGCAGAAGCAGCAGCAGTAAAGGCAATCAGATGCTCCGTCTGGACAATGGACTTGAGACTAAGCTTCAGTTGTCCTCGTAGGTAATTTCTCTGTCACTTGCCTCTCTGTTTCATGCTTGAGTTAATGATCTTTTATGCAGTTCAATGAAATGCATTTCTTTTATGTCCTTTCCCGTTTGCATCCCAGTGAAATGCTCTTTTTTCTGTCTTGAACTTTTTTATGTGCTTGTGCTCTGTTTTTAGTATTAGAATCCGCTGTTGCTGTCTTGTTGCTATTCTCTGTCTTCTTGATCTTAGGTGGATCTTCTGTTGTAGTATTAGAAGCTTTAAGTGTGCATTTTCTGATAGACGCCATGAAAGCATGTGAAGGTTAGGATTGCGTTGTATATTCTGTGCGTCTTCCTGCAACTTCTGTGCATATATTTTACCCTGCCAGCCTGCCTGCATGTGGCTTGATTTGCTTTGTGTTAGTTGTCATGGAGTTTATGCTAATGAAATTTTCATGGGTATTCACACAATTGTAAAACCACCCATTTGCTTATGTGTGGAAACTAGAAATGCACTTGTAAAGCATCTGTCTTCGGTCGCTAGTGTGTGTTTGTGCTGTGATTAGGTTTATCCAACTCTTGTAGAGGTTAACAAAATTCTTCAAAGAGAGAAAAAAAATTCACGGCAACATGATAGAGACATGAATACTTGAAAGCCTGTTTTGTCTCATATCGAGCTTCTGTGACCATATTGATTCATTAATGAATCATCGGGCGAATCATGCCATGATGATGACTGCTAGTTCATGTATCAAGTCAGGGCCGTCGTAAGAATTTTGCATTTGGGCATTTGCCTTAATGACTTTATTACATGCGTTGCGAACAAAACGACCTACCATAAGAAATCAGCATGTGTTTAGGGGTATCCGAAATTCAGGTATTCGGGCGGGGAGAGAATGAGCATGGGTCTCTCATCGGTGGGACCCTTTGGGGTTCGGATTTGGGTTTTGGCCAGCGAGTACCCGTACCCATGGGTAAACCGAGCCGAAAGGAGAGGGAGAGAGGGTGAGGGGTGTGAGGCCGTGAGGTCAGTAACTCGGTGGTCAGTAGATGCTAACTAGTCCCGCATTTTAAAATTAAGGTTTCACTTCTAGAGGGAGAGAGAGAGTTCATCCCATTCCCCACGCCTCCGAGATCGATACCTCATTGCTTGTCTCGTCTCTGCCTTCGCCTTCAGTCATTTTCTATGGATATCTTTCTTCTCCGTTTTCGCGATCTTGCCCCCTCTTTTCTCGAGGCCTTGCAACCTTGGCCATTTTTATGTCGCCCCATCGTTACTTCACCCTCTTTTATCACATCATTTCTTTTTCGTCCTTCCTTACCTGTCTCATCGACCGAATACATGAAGCTTGGGTATCCAACCCTCACTAGACCCTGATCGAGTGTGGCCCACGGGGAAATCTGAGGGAGCGAACCGAAGTTAAATATCTCAAAAAACTCGGATATCCGATCAGATTCTACTGTGTATGTTTGTTTGTCTCAATATAAATAGAGGAATTACGTGTTGTAAACCCTTTCGTTTCCATGTTGAAAATGCAGAAAACGGAACACAAAGTGATGACGTTAACTCACGTTTTCTGTCTCATGCGATTTCTATAGGTTTGGTAGTTTGGAACAAGTACCTTCGCTTCTATACGACCAGTCCAAAGGCGACATATGACTTAACACAACGGAACGGGAATGGCCTCACTCTTCACCTTCGATTGATTTTTTTTTTTTTTTGGATTTTTTGTGTTCTTGTGGCATTGTAGTTTGTACAGATGATGTCCACTGGACCCTTTGGTGTAATGGAAAAGTCTTCTCTCTCTCTCTTTTTTTTTTATCTGTCCTTTACTTTTTCTGATAAATTTTTAATATTTTGTTTTTCTGGTTTTTACATCTATGATAGTTTTTAACTTTCATTCAATAATTTATAATATAATTTTTTTTTATGTAACTGTAATAGTTCAAACAAATGTCTAAAACTTTCAAGATGAATTTAAAAGTACACTTTTTTTTTTAATGTAAAGGGAAAATTCTATATGAATATGTAGAATTTGTTATCACCTCCAAATTAATACAAAGATTCTAAAATTTTTAGAAAAATAAAAAAAGTATAGTTTCTAGTTAAAATCATGAATTTTATAAGTATTATTAAAAAAATATAGGGAGTTTGGCGCCCTTTTTTGTTTGACAAGTTTAAGAATCTTTACAAAATTTTGTGTAGATTTATAGATTTAATTAAGAAAAAAATTGTGTATAATAAAAAAATTCGTGAATAATCTGTAAGTTGTTGCCAAATTTGTGCATTTATATGAGGTTTTCTCTAATGTAAATGTCTAATGAGAATTCTTTATTATTAAGATAACCTCTAAACAAAACAACAAAAGCGTAGAGTGCGAAACAAAGAAGAGAAGCTTCTTCCTTACATAAGGGAATAAGAAGGGCCTCCACCGCCTCCAGGCACTGTCCACTCAATGTTCTGCTTTGGGTCTTTGATGTCACATGCCTTCATAATATCACACACACAATCATCAATCCTTATTAGTTGTCGTCTTGAATCCGAAAACACGTTTTTATCGAATATGATTGATTGTACCTTGCAGTGTAAACAGTTCTGCGCGTTGATATGCAGCCTCGGCTTACCCTCTTCATCAGCCACATACCTTTTGCATCAGGACAGACATAAGGATGAGTTCAGATACAATGGAGGGAGAGAGAGAGAGAGAGAGAGAGAGAGAGATCGTTACTCGTATACACGGGCAGGGCAGTAACGTGACTCTGGTGCAGCATAGTCAGGCAAGTTGACGTTTTCGGGAATCTTGGGATCCCTCAAGCGCAGATGAGAAGGTTGGTCATGATCATGATTGGTGTTACTTCTGTATCCACCATTGCCAATACCAAAATATCAAACCCCAAAACACAAAATCAACAAAATCCTCTTTGCTCATATTGCCATTTTCTTTTTCTGATTTCTTTGCAGATTGACAGTATCTAGATTGGTGTCAAAGCACAAAACCTGTATAAAGAGTTTGCCATGTCGAAGGACAAAAGGCCATCGGGTTTTGGATACTCAATAGGAGTGTGTAGCCGAGCAAGCTGCAATGAATATAACACCTCGGTTGTATGCATTAGCACGTGTGTATATACAGAAAACGGTCCATATTAAACGATTGGTTTCGGTCCAAAATATTATAATGTACTCACATTTGTTGCTTCATGATCTGGCTTCCCGTGTTTGAGAGTGAAAGGAGCCTTTCCTCTCAGTAAGTAGCTGCATAAGCAAAAGACATAGATACAGTTCATCAGTAGAATATATATGCTTACCAAATTGAAGATCATACCATTATCAAATAAGAAAACCCGGAAGGATAGAAGAAACGATTAGTGAAAATCCAAATTGATTTGAAATCTTACTGTTCGGCAGCGCTTATGGCCAATCCCGGGAGTAGCCCGTACTCAAATGCCTGCAAAGGTATAAGGTGAGAAAGATCAACTTCAGGGGAATCATGAAGAAAGAATCTTCTGATAGAAAACATTTTATATACAATGAAACATAAAGTAGTGTTTATATAATGAACAATATCCATAATGTTACGAACAGGTCGATAGTTCCGAGCTGCGTAAAGCTCTTTCCACACCCATGAATTCCTCAAGTTGTCCCAATATGTGTTCATGTTCAGACCTTCATGAATCGCACTGAATGCAGCTTCAGCTGCTAGCATTCCTGTGAGTTGTGAGATATTTCCAAAATTAGGATATATATATATTTTTACGACAGAAAAATGCGAAAAATTAGCATTTTCATACCACTTGCATGGTTACAAAATTCACCTCGGAAAAAGAATAAAAACTCAGACAAAACAAAAGATGAGACTCGGAAGATATTGACACCTGATTTCATTGCAGTGTGAGTTCCCTTTATCTTGGGAACGTTCAGAAAGCCGGCCGAGCATCCAATTATTGCTCCTCCAGGAAAAACTGGATATGGAATGGACTGTAATTTAACTAGCATCATGTTCAATGATGTGTAACATTGTGTAAAAAAAATGCGAGCCTAACATCTGATGTTGACTATATACTGAAATTTGAGCAAAGGGGAGAAATTTCCATCTCACCTGAAAGCCGCCTTCATTTAAAGTGCGAGCTCCATACTGAAGCACACTACCACCTTCCAAGGTAGCTTTAATGGCAGGATGGTGTTTGAGTTTCTATCCGAACAACAAAATGATAAGTCATCAGAAAAATCTCTTCTCGATTTGTCTGTTAAACAAATTGTATGGTCTGAATCAATAAAAGTGTGTGTTTACGAGGAACAGTCTGCCAACCTGAAATTCCTCGTAAGGGTTCAAGAAAGGGTTGTGGTAATTCAAGGCAACTACAAAGCCGATAGCAACCTGCCCGATTTTTTTTTTCAAAGAAAAAACTTCCAATGAGCTACCAAAATTTGAAAAGTTCAATAGCAAGCAGACAATGGAAAATAAAGGAGAAGCAAAACACGGGGAAAAAAGCGGATGTCTGTATCGGGCAATACTTGCTCAACTATATCATTAAAAGCCAGAACAAAGAATCTCCAGAGAGAGATATGATGAGTAGTAGTTACCTGTCTATCACTCATATGGTACATAAAAGAACCACCATATGTCTTTTGATCCAAGGGCCAACCCAGTGTGTGAAGAACTTCTCCGGGCTTATGCTTATTTTCATCTACTTCCCAGACCTGCTTGAACTCAAACGTGCCATCAGTCAATAGGACAAAGTCTCTGAACATAATAGTCTCTAGGACACGTTTTTAGATTTCGGAATCAATTTGTGCACCAACAGAAAACAACCACACTATTTGGCGAGCAAGATCAATGATTATTTTGAGATATTAACATAATGATAAAATGCTTAGAGAATCAAACATGCATTTAAGGCCATAACAAAAATTTAGAACCGAATCAATGGGTTCACCTCTTTGATTCCCAAAGCATAGGTCTGATGTTGGGCGTGCACCTCTTCTCGTAGTTTATACTTCTTTATTATTTTCTGCTCAAAAAGGAGTGGAGATGGTTTTTATCAGCAAAAAGGGACAGTTAATGTTGAGCTTATATTGGAGTTTTCTACTCACTTCAGACAATGATCCTCGGCATCCCTCTGCAATTAGTGTGACTCGACCTATGTATTAACAACACACAGTTAAGTACATGTACAGGAGAGAGAGAGAGAGAGAGAGAGAGAGAGAGAGAGAGAGAGAGAGAGACCTTTTATGTTAACACCTGGCTGAAAATTCTCCTTCTTGGAACCATCCTTGGCTATTCCCATATCTTTGGTTCCAATCCCAACAACATTGTCATTCGCATCAAACAACACCTGAGAAACACTGTCTTACTATGCAACTATCAAATGCTATGACGATTAATTATAGTAAACACGAAGAACCACATGATATTACCTCACTGGCAGCAAAACCAGGGTATATCTCCGTCCCCAGTTCTTCAGCCTTTCCTCCCAGCCATCGCGCTAATTGGCTCAAACTGAATAGAAAGCATAAGAAAACAAAAAAAATCACAAAACAAAAATTTGGTTCTGGAAAGAAAGCAGTCATAACATGCCTCGTTTATCGCTACCTAATAACATAGTTTCCTCTGTTATCAAAAGGAGAAGGAAGTGAGAGCGCACGGTCCTTTGTCAGAAACCAAAATTTATCTGAAGAAGCAGGGACTTGAATGGGTGCCTGCAAATATTATATCAGACGACAAGAAGGATATGAAAAAAAAATCACCGATAGCACCAATCTGTGATCATCAGTAACATATTTCCTTCCAGGTTAATCACTAAAGCAGCAATGATATAGTGACAAGTCCTTTCTGGATCTCAAGCACAGAATATAAAATTCTTGACTAAATTTTATGAAATTAAGAACCTAAACCTATGAGAAGGAACTTGTTAAGCATCTCCGAGACCAGAGAGCACAAAAAGTTTCAAGGATGTCAGGACACAGAGAAACAAACCTGTTCTTGCCTCCATTGCGGGAGAAGTTCATCCAGAGCTCGAGGTTCGAAAACATTTCCAGATAGGATATGTGCTCCTATAAAATATGTCAAACACAGATGATATAAATTTGCTGCCATATAATGAACGGAATCATGTAAATATAACCATATGATCACAAGACTGGAATTCACGTAAGCCACAACAATTTCCAAATTCTCTATCATTGCAATTTCTAATGGAAATTCCAATTGCACGAGACTGCATGAACATCAAACTAGGAAGACTTTATGATTGAGCAAGAACTCTTACCTACTTCTGCACCTTTCTCAACGACACATACTGATAAATCAGCATTCTTTTCTTGGCACAATTGTTTCAAACGTATAGCAGCAGACAATCCGGCCGGTCCAGCTCCGACAATCACAACGTCGTACTCTATTGACTCTCTTCCTGATCCATTACTGAGATTCCGGACAGACCCACTTCCGTTTAACCCAAAATTCCTCGAATTGTTAACTTTTGTCCAATACCCAGATGAGGAACCGCCATGGAAGCGGATCTGAGAGCTTAAAGTTTGTAAATTTCGAAACAAATGGGTGGAATAAGGGTACCCAATTGGAGAACCCCACCGGTAAGTACAGCTCGTCCGTTTCGGAGCACATCCAGAAGCAGTAAAGGGATCTGAAGAGCTTGATGAACCCAATGGAGGCGAAATTGCTCTCCGGTTCCTCGAGTTTTTCAGGGGATTGGAAGCGGAGGAGACTCTTACGAGAAATCTATGCATGGCTGCGACGATAGCAACAGAGAAGACGATCGAGAAGGAAAAACGACTACGACGATCGTAAACAACAAAACATGCGTGTTTATATTATACATAAACAGATACGTATAGCTTCAGCTTGCATCTGATTGGGATATGACGTGCCAATCTCATCTTCTCCTCTAAACCTTAATCTTCGGACAAGTTTCCCTTTTGGGCTGAGCGAGAGAGAGAGAGAGAGAGAGAGAGGATTATATATTTTATGCTAAACCAGCAAACAAAACACTTGTAAAACCGAAGAAACCAGTTTCAATGAAATGACAGCTTCCTTCAGTTCTTAGCTTATATGATTTTATGTTAACAAAAAACTAGTTTCGTTCAGTCATCCATTGTTACGAAGAATAGATAGCTTCTTCCTCCAAGAAAAATGGAACACAGTTTCCACAAACTAAGACACTACGTCACAAAGATTTCCAGTCATTTCATGGTAAAAGGGCATAATACATCATTACAAGAGCACTTCAGAAGTTAAACTCTCCGTTAAGGGTAAGGCAGGGTGGCAATGTGGTTATGAGCCACTGTCCCAATCCAAAGCTTCCCTTGAACCTCTCTCACTTCACTCACAAGCTTCATCACTTCTCCTTGTGCATCCTCAAGTACCTCCAGGATATTCCCCTCCTCGTCCAGTAGAGATATAACGGTATACATTCTCATCCCCATAACTTTTGCCAGCAAGCTCATCTTCATAGGAAGTCTGAAGTAGAAGCTCTTCATCCATGGATTGTTCGTGAGGACCTCTTGCGCCGGAGTTCTGCAGCAGTCAATGGCAACCCAGAACTCTCCCCTTTCGTTCATTCTCACGTTGTCTGGAAATCCTGGAAGATCCACCACCACTTCGATTTCCCCCGTCTTTGGACCCTCCAGCCAGTACTTCATCAACCTGCCATGAGATGCGATTTGACATTCAAAGAGGTGGAAAGATGTCAGCCCACTTGACTAAAACCAGTTTTCACATCCTTTATCTGTCTGGTTTGCGGTTTTGTACAGATTTTAAAGGTGGTTTATGATGTTACCTGCAGTTGGTGGTTTCGGTGTAGAGAAGGAAAGATTGGTCCCTGGAGAATTGAACTCCATTGGGGAATGCCAAACCATCCAACACAATGTGAGTTGTCTTGGTAGGTGGATCATATCTTAGAAGCCTTCCTGTTGCTTCTCCTTCCAACAATATGAAGAAGTGGTTCCTACAAATGCATGCCTAGTTCTTATCATAAAAGAATGGTGGAAATCACCTTACCAGCAGGGGAACGGAGTTTTTGTTCGGTAAACTTACACTCTATCATATCTCTTGCTGGTGTCGGTGAAGAAGATGGAGCCATTTTTATGGATGTCGAGGTCATTGGCAAAGAGTATAGGCTTTCCTTCAACATGAATAGACAAAGAGGTTGCAAGCCCTCCTTCAGGACCGACCACAAGTAGACCATAGTAAGCATCTGCAATGAACAGGTTTCCTGTCTGCTTATCAAATCTCAGACCAAGTGGCCGCCCACACAGCTTCTCATGCTTCCACTGCTTGTGAGTCGTTGAATCTACACCTCTTGCACATGCTTTCTCTGACCTAATTGCCATGCAAAAACAACAACAATCAAGAAGATAGATAGATGATTTTTGTTCAGAAAACGTTCCCTTCGTACAGTATTTACCAGTTTGATGTCACAACTGCAAATGTCTCCCATCCGGTTGCTTCACCCATCCATCTGACTACCCTTCCATCAGCCAAACCAGTGTAAGGACCACGCCCTAAGCTATCAAACTCCAATGACTCAGGACCGAAGACCTCATCCACGAACTCCAGTTTCCCATGATGAGCCAAACGGCTGAGGTTGTCTCTTGGCCAGCTCCCCATGACTCGCTTGTATGGAGCAATCTCATGCTTCACGGGTCTGAACTCATGACCCCCAACTGGACCCATGTCAAACGGGTCAACCACTATGAACCCTACGGACAAGGCGATGATAAGGAGAATCGGGTGATGGGTAAGCAAAGAGTCGTAGATTCCGCATTGTCCCTTCTTCTCCATTGGAGGTGTATCAGAAAAAAAGCAAGAACTGATGCTCCTTATCAGTTTAGAGGTTATATAGACATGACGGAGGCTTGTGGTTGTGGAGAAGAAGTTGGGAGGGGGAAACGCAGATCTTGTGATTGAGTTCTGGGTCGAGAGTAGGTAACCATCTAAAAAATATAGAGACCATGCTCAATATATATATATATATAACTTTAAAATATTTATATATATTAATAATTATTTTTATAATTTTTAAATTTAATTAATAAATCATTATAAATCATTTTTACTATTTAGTTTAATCAGATTATAATATAAAAAATAAAAAAATTACAAAATATACTAATTAATAGATAAATTTTCAAACTATATAAAATAAAATAAAAAATTATGAAAATTAAATTATATTATTGATTACAATACAATATTTTTAAAAATACATCAACTATTATTTTTAAGAGGTAATCGCCAAAAAAACCATGAATTTTTCCCAGGTCAACGAAAAAACCCTGTACTTTTTTTATTACCAATTAAACCCTGTACTTGGTGTGATTAATTCATAAAACCCTGTACTCTTTAAAAATTCACCGAAAATCACCCGCGAATGCCAACTCAAACAAAAATGATGATGTGACAATGACATGGCATGAACACATCATCATAATTATACCACATCATCATTTCAAACAAAATTTAAATTAAATTAATATATATGCATACAAATTCACACATACATACATATATATATATATATATATATATATTAAATATAAAATTATTTACAACTAATAAAAAATATATGCATATCTACAATATATATTATAAATTATATTATAAATAATATATATATATATGCATATTATATATATCCCAAGTCATTGTATATGTATATATAGTAATTATAATTAATTTTATATACATACATGATAAGTAATGCTTCTGCGCCGTGAAAA